GGGAGAGCTGGTCCTGCGGGGAGGGGGGCACCGGGACCAGAACAGCGCAAACGCGAGGGTCTCGGCCCGCGCGGGAAGGCTTCCTGGAGCGATCAGCCTGGGTGCGGGAGGGCTGAGCGGAGGGGACTGTGCTGCGGGAGCAGCTGCGGGAGCAGCTGCGGGGCGGGAGGGCCTTGGCAGCCCTGGCACCTGAGCCCGGCGCCCAGTCCTTGAAGAACTTCCCTTGAGCGACTGCCTCGGGTCGGGGTGCAGTCTCTTAAATTCAGACCAGGAAAGGAGAGGCGCCAACTGTGCCAGTCTGGGAGCTCGTAGACCTAGATCAGCCAGCACCGGCGCCTGCCCATGCACCACGCTGGCTGCAGTTTTGCAAACTCAGGCCAAGGATGGGTGTGAGTGGTGTGCTTGGGAGGCGCTGCTCCCAGCCCAAGCCAGCAGGCACCAGGTGCTCGCTGACGGTCCTGTGATCTGCAAGATCTTGTGATGGGGGTGTCCTTGGGCTCACAGACCTGGGCTTTGGAGACAGCAAATGCAGCGTTTTCAGAGTTACTCTGCTGGGTGACTGGGAGGAAGGGCAGCTTTAGCGACACTGGACATGGCACATGGATGCTGGGGACATACAGATCCAAGACTGTTCTTGGAGAGGTGTGATGAGTATTCTAGTCCCGTCTGTTACAGTAACAGAAAATACCTGAAACTGGGTGATTTAGAAGAATACGGGCGTATTTGGTTGGTGAATTGGAGCTCCAAAGTCCAGGGGGGACATCTGGCAAAGGCCTTCTTGCTGGTGGGGGACATGGCAGTGAGCAAAAGAGAGCATGTCTGTGCCTGTGTGTCTATTCTAGTCTCATTCCCTCTCATAAACCCACTGGGGAGTCAGTCATGCCTCCACCCCCATTTCCTTAATCCTAATCTCCCAAAAGACCCACCTTTTAGCACCAAAGTCAGATTAAGTTTTCACTCTCTTAAACCTATCACAATCAAATCTCAACACAATGGATTTTAGGGGACATATTCAGACCATACCAGTGAAATGTAAACTGGAAGTGGACTGGGCTGGTGGCTAAGGCTGGGTGGCCAGCAACTCCCTGGGTGATCTTAGTCACTTCTTGAATGGTTAGAGTTCTCACCACTAAATGCAGATTGATCCTCCCCATCTAGAGGGGTTCGGTTTCTAGAATACTCACTGAGCCAGACAGTCAGTCCCACAGGCTGATGAGAGAGAGAAATGATAGAACAAGCAGTTATAGAATTACAGAAAAAGTGGGACCAGCAGATAGTGAATGGCTATGTTGCTGGACTCCCACATAGTCGACTACAGTTCGAGTCTTGGACCCGGTGGCTTAAACTCATGCTGGGCGCGTGTGTGTGCATGCCCAAGATCCTGAGAGGAGAAGGGAGGAGAAGAGATTGCAGTGTGGCCATCCCCCAGGGGGGTGATTTCTCTCTTTCTGTCTCTCTGTCTCTCTCTGTCTTTCTGGTGAGCACACACACCCTATAGTTAAAATCTCTCCCCTCCCCAAAAAAAGAATTACAGAAAAATTAAACTGTAAAAGAAGATAACCTTAGGGGGTGAGGCAATATGTGGTGTGGTGGCCAAGGGCGCTGGATTCCCATATGGCCTACTGCAGTTTGAGTCCTGGATCTGGTGGCTTGCTCTCTCGCTTTCCCTTTTTCTCTGTTTCTGTCTGGTTGAATTGAGAATAATAATAAGTGGAATTAAATAAATAAATAATTATTTAGGGGGGGAAGAAAACCTTGGTAAGAGAAGAGGACTTCAGCTGAGTACAGTGCGGTGGTGAACAGAAGCAGAGAGTGATGGATGTGGAGGGCCAGGGTGGGTGGTGGTTCCATCTGGGAGGGCAGTAGGCAATAAGGCCTACTTTTTCTTTAAGCTGCATGCACTTCCTCTTTGTTTGAATGTTACTGAATTTTATTTCATTTTAATGTCAGAGGGTGTGTGTATGTGAGAGTTGAGGAAAGAGAGAGAGAGAGAAATACCCCACGGGCTGGGCATGCTGCAATCCTTTTGCCTCCAACTCTTTACCCTTCAGCTGAGTACCAGGATCCAGGAGGTACTGTGTTCTGTGTGCCCAGAGCATTTTTCCTGCTGCTGGGGCAGGACTGGAACCCTGGTCAGCCGTGTGGGATCTGGCTCCCTCTGTGCTGTGCTTAACTGTTGGGGTACGGAGCCAGCCCTTGAATTTTTACTACAAGAAGGTGTTCATGTACTGAGAAACGAAGATATTAAAAGAGAAGTCAGTTCCTAGGACAACTTTATAAGCACTGGATGAGGGAAAGGCAGCAAGACTGTGGAGACCACGGATAACCCAGGGAGGGGACCAGAGTGACCCACACCTTGCAGACTGACATCATGAAGCCTTGGGGTGGAGAGAGGTTCCTAGCTTCCCAGAAATTCATCATGGGTGAGTAGCTAGGGATAAGGCCTAGACTGGTTTGATGAAGCTTCCAAGCTTTATCTAGGGATCAGTGGAGCTAAGAAAAGGTGTCCAGCGGGGAGAGAACAATCTGATGTATGTTTTATAAAGTTCACCCTGGCTATTCCAGGAACACACTGGAGGAGGCCGGAGTGTCAGCAGGGAGGTGAGCCAGGAGCCTGCTCAGGTTGTCCAGCTGAGAACTGCTGGTGGCTCGGGTAGGCAGACAGCTGCGGGGATGGCAAGAAAGTGAATTAGAGAAGATATTTGGGGGACAGAATAGGCTAGACCTAGCCCGGTTAGTCAGAAACACACTGGGCACAAACACTAATGCCCAGGATCTGACGGGCTGGAGGAATGGGGCCATGGTGTGCCCAAACCCTGTGGAGGGTGCACATCTCTCTCACACTCACACACACACTTTCACATGACTGTGCCTGCACTCTGTCATGAATAAAGAAAAAGAAAGGGGCCAGCAGTTGACGTGGATAAAGCGCTGAACTCCCACATGGCTGACGGCAGTAGAAGTCCCGGATGTGGTGGCTGGCTTTCTCACTTTCTCTTTATCTCTCTGTCTCTCTCTGGCCAAATTAGGCATAATAATAATACTAAATAAAATTAAATAAATAATTCTTTTGAAAAAAGAAAATTAAGAACAAATATGTGTGTGGAGTTACTGAGTATGAAACTTATGAAAGAGGTAGACTCTTTTCGACCCCCCATAATTCACTGGAGAGTCGTCCAAGGTGTGTGGATTGAAAGTTTGCTCCTTTTTACTTCCAAGTGGTATTTTATGGTACAGATAGTCCACAGTTTGTTTAGTATTTACTCACTGAAAGACATCTATCTGTTTCCGGTTTTTTTTTATACCATTATGAATAAAACCTATGGATTTGCATGCAAGTGCCCAAACACGCAGATGATGTCCTGAAGCTCATCAAGGGGAGCATGAACCCCAGGTTCTCGCCTCTAGATGTTGGAGGGAATAGACTGGGGTGGGCGAGTCTGCCCAGGAACAGTGTAAGAACGAGAGAAGAAAGAGGCTAAACAAAAGGAACTCCTTGAAATAGAAGCATTTAGGAGTGCTTAGGAGAAGAAATGAAAGGAGGCATCAGAGAGGTGGCAGAAGACCTGGGCAGAGTGGCATCCCAGAACCAAGGAGGGAGTGTTGTGAGGAGTCTCAGATGTTGCCCGATGGTCATTGGTGGAAGGGTTGGGACTTTAGCTCCACTACGTTAGGTAGAGGAGGACTGGAAAGTGAGCAGAGAAGATAGTAGGCATAGATGACCCTCATCAGATACTTGATATCAAAGAGAGGAGCGATGAGGGCCAATAAATGGCCTAACGGTTCCAGCGCTGGACTCTCACATGGCCAACTGTGGTTTGATTCCTGGACCTGGGGGCTTGAAAGTCATGCCGGGTGAGTGTATGTGTGTGCCCAAGATCCTGGGAGGAGAATGGAGAAGAAGGAATTGTAGTATGGCCATCCCACCTAGGGGGTGATTTCTCCCTCTCCCTCTCACTGTCTCTCTCGCTCTCCAGTGAGTGCATGTTACCTAAAGCAAAAAATAAAAATAAAAAAATAAAATAAATAAAGAAGAGAGGGGGACTAGCAGTTAGCCTAATGGCTATGTCGCTGGACTCCCATGTAGTTGACTGCAGTTTGAGTCCCGGACCCGGTGGCTTAAACTCAAGCCGGGCACGTGTGCGTGCATGCCCAAGATCCCAAGAGGAGAATGGAGGAGAAGGGATTGCGGCATGGCCATCCCTCCTGGGGGGTGATTTCCTGCTTTCTGTCTCTCTGTCTCTCTCTGTCTGGCGAGTGCACACACCCTATAGCAAAAACCTCAAAAAAAGAAGAAGAGAGGAGAGGAGCGATGCGATGGAAATAAAGAAACAAGGAAAGCAAGGATTCCCAAGTGCAAACAGATTTGTGGGATTTGTGGGGTGTGGGTGTGGAAGGCTGGGTAACCTGTTTCTGGAGGGCTGAGTCACTTAGGATTAGAGTCAGCCATGAGAAAGAGGTGTCCATCCTTAGGCTGGAAGGCTATTTTTTTTTCCTACGAAAATCCAGAGGAAGGTAGCCCAAAGCTGTGAGGGTGGACACGTACTGTACGGTTCTCAGAGACCTTCCCTCCCCCAACTGTCCCCATACCCCTAGGATCTTTCCAGAGTTTTGGCCTGCAGTCCCTGGGTTTGTCCTCATGGTCCAGGAAGATAGGTAGGGTTGCCACCACTATATCTTTGTGCTAGGAAGCAGAATGGAGAATGGGACACAGTAGGAGGTCATAACCAGGTAGCTTTTAAGAAAACGTCCCAGAAGCTGCCATATGACTTCCTGACTTACAGGTATCCCTTCGGCCAAAATGTGGTCATTCCTTAGAGGCTGGGAAGTGTGATCTATTCTGGGAACATGTTTCCATCGCAGGATCTTGGAACTCAGGACAGCAGAAGTAGGAGAGTGTACCTTGAGGCACAGTCTGTGGTCTGGCTCGTAGGTGAAGCCAGTGCAGGATGCTGGGTCCACCTTCCATAGAACCTGCATTTTGTTTTCCAGGAATGGACAATCAGACCGTTCTGGCTGTCCAGTCATTGTTGGATGGCCAAGGAGCAGTCCCTGATCCAACAGGCCAGAATGTCAATGCGCCCCCCGCCATCCAGCCATTGGGTGAGTATCTGCTTAGGTTCTGTGGTGGGAGGGTGAAGGCTCCCCAGAAGGAACAAGTGGGGCCCCTGCAGGGGCATAGGTGTGACTATCCGCTGTAGCCTACCATAGCCCCGGGATGTCCTTTGGTATTTGAACCTCTTCCCTTCTCAGCCTGGATCTCCAGCTCTGGCTTTTCCCAGCCTTAGCTCTGCTTAGCTCTGAGGACACCCTCCCAACTACTTAATAAACATGGGTATGGAATTCAGGGTATGGCTAGGAGCCCCTGTGCCCCTAGGACAATGCTTGTACCTTTGCCCTGGAGGTCATTTCTGAGCCTCCACTCTATGGAAAGAACAGGCTGAGCATGAATTTCTCCAATTAACAGACCCCTGAGACACAGAGAGAGCACGAAACTTCTTTTGAAAGTTCTTGTGTGGGGGCCAGCAGTTGGTGTAATGGCTATGTCGCTGGACTCCCATGTAGTCGACTGCAGTTCAAGTCCCAGACCCTGTGGCTTAAACTCATGCCAGGCGTGTGTGCGTGCGTGCCCAAGATCCTGAGAGGAGAATGGAGGAGAAGGGATTGCAGCGTTGCCATCCCCCCTGTGGGATGATTTCTCCCTTTCTGTCTCTCTGTCTCTCTCTGTCTTTCTGGCGAGTGCGCATACCCTATAGCAAAAACCTCTCCAAAAAAAAAAAAAAAGTTCTTGTGTGAGTCTGTATTCATTTATTCATTCCATAGACATTTTTGAGTACTTGGGAACCATATCGGGGGTGGACAAACACCTGGGCTCAAATCTGTGGTCACTTAGTTCCTGGCTTTGTGGTCCTGGGCAAGAGAATTAATCTCCCGGTACCTCAATTTTCACACCTGTAAAATGGGGATAGTTGTCCTACCTCTTAGGAATCTTTTAGTAGTTCTTGGGATTTAGTTTCGGCTGTTGTAAATAACAAACAGAAGTGTCTTGGGACCAGCAGTTGGCATAATGGCTATGTCGCTGGACTCTGACATAGTTGACCATGGTTCGATCTTGGACGGAGTGGCTTAAACTCACGCCGGCGCATGTGCATGCATGCCCAAGATCCCGAGGGGAGAATGGAGAAGGGATTGCAGTGTGGCCATCTCCCCTGGAGGGTGATTTTTTTGCTTTCTGTCTCTCTGTCCCTCTCTGTCTTTCTAGCGAGCACACAATCTCTATAGCAAAAATCTCTCTTCCAAAAAAAAAAGAAAGAAAGAAAAGAAAGAAACAGGAGTGTCTTATGGTTTCTACAAGATTCAAGTAAACCTCTGTTGTATAAAGTCTCGGGGGCATTTAGGGTGGGTATGGTGTGACTTGGGTCCTCTCTTTCTTGTGGTGCTACTGTTCTCAGTGTGTTCAGGACAGCTGGTCCAGCTCCCATTCTGATTTCTATATTCCAGCCAGTGAAGGGGAGAAAGAAGGAAATGGAAACTATTCCCTTTCCTTTTAAGGGAAAGTTGAACGAACACTTCCACTTTCATCTCATTGGTCACATGACATGCCAGCTGCAAAGAAGGCTGAGTAAACATTTTTTCACTAGGAATCCATGTTTCCCAATAAATATTCTATTATTGTATAAGAAGGATACAATTAGAATTGAATAACAATTGGGCCAGCTAGTGGTATGGTGGTTAGGGCAGTTGGATTCCACATGGCCAGGCGTGTGATTCTGAGTCCCTTGAAAAACACACCTAGGTGCCCCAAATCCTGAAAGGATTGAAATGTAGAAGGGATTGCAGTGTGATTATCCCCACTGGGGGTGCTTTCTCACTTTCCTTCCCTTTCTTTATCTCTCCAACAAGTGCATGTACCCTCTAGTAAATTAAAAACAAACAAACCTTATGCTAAGAAAGTTCATGGTCCTGATATACCATTCTTGGCTAATTATCATTTAGGTTTTAGAGGTGTGGTTGTTTTGTTTTTTGTTTTTTTTTTTTGGCTATAGGGTGTGTGCACTTGCCAGGGAGAGAGAGAGAGAGAAGAAAGTTAGAAATCACCCCCTACGGGAGAATGGCCATACCACAATCTCCATTCTCCTCTCAGGACTTTAGGCATGCATGTGTGTGCATCCAACATGATTTTCAAGCTGCTGGGTCAGGGATTCGAACCATGCTATCAGCTATGTCAGATCTAACTGCCTTAACCTCTATGCCGCCTGCTGATCCATTTAAGTTTTTCTTTTTTTTTTAACTTTTCATATACGATACATGCATTTGCTAGTGAGAGACAGCGAGAGAGGAATGTGGGAAATCAATCCCCAAGATGGATGCTCACACTACAGTCCCTTCTCCTTCATTCTTCTCTTACCGTCCTGGGCTTTGGGTATGCACATGCATACATCGTGATTTTCTTTTCTTTTTTTTTAGAGAGAGAACTTCTGTATAGGGTGTGTGCGCTTGTTGGAGAGGAGAGAGACAGAGATACAGAAAGCGAGAAATCATCCTTACAGGGGATGGCTATGCCTCAATCCCTTCTCCTCCATTCTCCTCCTGGGATTTTGGGCATGCACATACACACGCCTGGTGTGAGTTTTAAGCCACTGGGCCTGGGCCTTGAACAGTGGTTGACTACGTGGAAATCCAGTGATGTAACCATTATGTCATTGCTGATCTCTCCATCATGATTTTCAAGCTGCTGGGTCTGGGACTTAAACCATGCAACTGGCTATGCAGGATCTAGTACCTTAACCTCCATGCCACCTGCTAGTCCTTAGATTTTTTGTTTGTTTGTTTTCAGGAGATTTTTGCTGTCTGGTGTGTGTGCTTGCTGGAGAGACAGAGACAAAAAGCAAGAAAATCATCCCTCAGGGGGGATGTCTACGTTGCAATCCCTTCTCCACAAGTCTTCTCTCAGGATTTTGGGCATGCACATATGCACATGTGCCCAGTGTGAGTTTTCTTTGTTTTTTTTTTTTTTTTTTGGAGAGGTTTTCGCTATAGGGCGCGTGCACTCGCCAGAAAGACAGAGAGAGACAGAGAGATAGAAAACGAGAAATCATCCCCCAGAGGGGATGGCAACGCTGCAGTCCCTTCTTCGGGATCTTGGGCACGCACGCATACGCATCCGGCATGAGTTTAAGCCACCGGGTCTGGGACTTGAACCGCGGTCGACTACATGGGAGTCCGGCAACATAGCCATTACGCTAACTGCTGGTCCCCCCCAGTGTGAGTTTTAAGCCACCGGGTCTGGGACTTGAACCACCATTGAATACATGGGAGACCAGCAACGTAGCCATTATGCCACCTGCTGGTCCCTCCTCCCTTTTTTTAAACCTTATTTATTTCTTCCATGAATGAGAGAGACAGAGGGAGAAAGCACTCATAACAGGGTCTTGATACTGTAGTCTACCTCCCCAGCCTCAACCAGTCCTGGATCATGGGCACACGTGTACCTGGAGTGCTCCAGGAGGTCTCTATCTGCAAACCTGAAACCTTCCCATGAGAGTCAGCCTTGCAGGGTTGCATCTTACTGCTGCCCCACCCTCCTGCCCCCCATTCATTTAGTTTTGTTTTTTTAATCCAACATCTATCAAGGACCTCCTGTATGCTCAGGAGGTATCAGTTATGGAATAAGTACGACACATTTCCTTCCCTAAGGGGACTCATAGTCTGCTGGCAAATGAGAAGTGTGCCCAGAGGAAGAAACCGGCCACTGGTTTTAGGAAGGATTCCTGGAAGAGGTGACATCCAAGCTATACCTTGCAGAATGAGTTATTCTGAAAGAGGCATCCTGGCAGGGCAGCAGTGCACAGGAAGGCACAGAGGGTTATGATCCTGTGGCCAACTTAGAGACTGATGGGTAGACTCGGACAGGATAAAAATTCTGAGTTTCTTGAAGAGAACCCATCTTATTATTGGGTTATTGGAAATACCATGATGTATTTTTCTCTCTCTGTCTTTCTTCCTTCCTTCCTTCCTTCCTTCCTTCCTTCCTTCCTTCCTTCCTTCCTTCCTTCCTTAGAGGTTTTGCCTTAGGGTGCGTGTGCCCACCGGAGAGAGAGAGAGAGACAGTCAGTGAGAGGAAAAGTGAAAAATCACCCCCCAAGTAGGATGACCACAGTGCAGTCCCTTCTCCTCCATTCTCCTTCTGGGATCTTGGGCATGCCCACACACATGCCCGGTGTGATTTGCAAACCACTGCATCCTCAAACCACGGTCAGCCATGTGGAAGTCCAGTGATGTAACCACTAAGCCATCTCCTGGCCCCCATGACGTATTTTTCTATGCAAAAATGTGTCGTGACTTTTCCGATGACTCAGTATTTCCTGATATCTAATTATTTGGCACCTGGCTACACATGGCTGGCTCTTCTTGCAGGTGCTCATGTGGTTCTGAAAGCCCCGGGAAGCATATAGTTGTTGACCCATGCACATGGAGTCTCAGAATGCTGTTTGGATCTGCTGTCCCCTTGGTCAGTGCAGGGCTCCTGTTTCTCACTGTAATGCCCCTGACTTACCCTTGCTTTTTTCCATTACTCTACTCCCTCTGCACCCCCTTCCCGCTGCTCTGCGGGCATGATCACTAGATGATGAGGATGTCTTTCTCTGCGGGAAATGTAAGAAGCAGTTCAACTCGCTGCCAGCATTTATGACCCACAAGCGGGAACAGTGCCAGGGGAGTGCCCCCACACTGGCCACAGTCTCACTGGCCACCAACAGCATCTACACACCTTCCGCGGCACCTGCGGCAGTCCAGCAGGCCCCACCTCCTGCCAATCGTCAGGTATTCATTTGTTTGTTTATTCATTCATTCAGCAAGTACTTTTGGAGCACCTACTGTGTGTCAGGTACTCTGCTGGGCATGGAGTACAGCAGTGGGCCAAACAAACCAAGTCACTGCCCTGGTAGAGTTGGGTGAAATGAATAGAATGCTAACAAGTGTACAGAGATAAATTATGGCTCAGCTTAGGTGCATAGTCATAGCGTATGAGACCTCAGTGCCAGAAGCCACATGGCTGATTGTGGGTTTGGATCCCCAGTTTAGTTGACCTGAAACATGCTGGTCACACAAACCCAAAATCTGATGGGATAGAGGGCTTGGGGAAGGGGATTGTGGTGTGACAAGGCCCTGTGGAAGGTTCTCTCTCTCCCTCTTTAGCTGTCCCACTCCTTTCTCTCTCGTGCACAATATAAATGTGCACATGCTATTATGAATAAAATTGATTTAAAAACCCTAAAAAGGGGCCAACAGGTGGTATGGGAGTTAAGGTTCTGAACTCCCACATGGCTGATTGTAGTTCAAGTCCCAGACCTGGTGACTTGCTTTTTACTTTCCCTTTCTTTTTCTCTCTAGTGAGCGTATGTGCCCTATAACAAATTTAAAAATAATAATAAAATTAAATAAATAATTTTTTAAAAACTAGAAAAAGATGTATGGCTTTTTAGCATGTTAAATGCAGAGAGATAGGTGTACCAAGACAGGGTGGGAGGTTTTCCCATAATGTGTGTGGTTCTTGGAGAAGAGCTCAGTGAAAAGATGACATTTGAGCAGATACCTAAGGAGGTGAGAGAATGACTCATACAGCAATTTTGAGAAGGAATGTTCCTCAGGTGGAGAGATCAGTAAGTGCAAAGACCCTGAGGCAGGATATGCTGGCTTATTTCAGGAACTACAAGGAGGTGAGAGTGGCTGAGGCTGTGGAAGTGAGGAGGAGGGTAGGGGATGATAAGGTCAGAGAAGCAGCAGGAAGGTTCTGGTAGATCTCATGGGCCCTGTGCACTTTTGTTTGGAGAGAGATGGGAGCTGTTGAAGGGTGTTGAACAGAAATTGACCAGGCCACTCTGGCTGTTCTGCAAAGAATAGGTTTGAAGGGGGTAGAGATGGCAAGAGAGAAAGCCAGGGGCTCCTTAGGGGGGCTGTTGTACAGATCTAGGCCTTGGATGGTAGTGACTTGACCCAGGGCAGTGAGGGTGGTGCGAAAGGGTAAGATTTTAGAGATATTTTGAAGGGGTTACTGACAGTTTGTGGATTGATTGGGTAGGGAGTGTAAGAGAAGAGTCAAGAGTGGCTCCAGAGCTGGAGTTGCCATTGTCTGAAGTAGAGAAAGCTGTGAAGAGAAAATTTGGGGGATGTCAGCCTAATTGTGACGGAGAGATAAACTCTCCAAAGATTTTATCCAGGAATAGCAGAGAATCACACCCCAGGATTTTTATGTGATGACAACATAGCTCAGGCATATCCAGGGGGACTAAGGCAAAGGGGAACCTTGTAAAGACAGAGAAGAAGTCCACATGGCTGTTTTATAACAAAGGTCATAGGTCACAGAAGCTCCCTGCAGAAGCTGGTGTTTGTCTGTTGGTGGAGATGGCTAGAGCTAGGTAAGTGGCCTTGTACAAGTGGCTTATCTGAAACACTGCAGTCTTGCAGTTCTGTGGTAAGTCCTGTTGCAGGCATACGTGCTTGAGGGCTGCTTCTTCATGGCCTTCATGGCCTCCAACTCTGTTTTGGTGGAGTTGATATAAGTGACTTCATTTTGGGACCAGTAGATAGCGTGGAGTTTAAGGTGCTGGATCCTACATGGCCAACTCTGTAATTTGGGGCCTTGGACCTGGTGGCTTGAAGATCACACCGGGTACATATGTGTGCTTACCCAAAGTCCAGAGGGGAGAATGGAGGAGAAGGGATTGCAGTATGACCATTCCTCCTAGGGAGTGCTTTCATATTTTCTTTCTCTTGCTCTTTCTGTGGTGAGCACATGTGCCCTGTACCAAACTAAAAAAACAAAAAAAAACCAAAACAAACAAACAAAAAAAACAGTAAGGGACCAGCAGTTGGTGTAATGGCTATGTCGCTGGACTCCCATATAGTCAACCGTAGTTTGAGTCCCAGACCCAGTGGCTTAAACTCACTCCGGGCGCGTGTGCGTGCATGCCCAATATCCCGAGAGGAGAATGGAGGAGAAGGGATTGTGGTGTGGCCATCCCCCCTGGGGGGGTGATTTCTCACTTTCTGTCTCTCTCTGTCTTTCTGGCAAGCGCACGCCCCCTGTAGCAAAAACCTCTCAAAAAACAAAACAAAACAAAACAAAAAACAGTAACTCCATTTTGGTACTGGCTGCTTTTATGGAATGTCAGGAATTCATCTGGACTTGAGACACCTTTGGACCTCTTCATAGAGGCAGTAACAATGTAAACAATGTAGACCTCTAGTTCTGGAAGCTAGAGGAGAGGGCCAGGCTCAATGTCTGTGGAGAAGTTTCTGGAGTCCTCAGTAAAGAACGCAGTCCTGGAGCAAAGATACCCTGGGTGAAAGACTCTCAGAAAAATGAAAGAATCCCTTGTAAAGGAGGCTGGGCATGTCTCAGGACATCAGGCAAAGCCTTCCTCTTCTCTCCTATTCCTTTAGCACCTTATCTTCATCCAGTATGTAGACATAATTCCATCAAAATTAAAGCAGTCACACTAGACTTGTAGAACATATAGGCTGAAACTTTCCAAGTTGCTCAGATATTTTCTAGCCTATGTTTAGAAACTAGACATTTTTCTCTTCGATTATGACTTTTGCTAACAGAAAATATTCTCCTCCCTCCTTTTCGTCAATGAAATAGGGAAATTCCTTCTGCCGTACACAGGAAATGAATTTATTTTTTTAAAAAAGAATTATTTATTTAATTTTATTTATTCATTCATTTATTTTAATTTGACCAGAAAGAGAGAGAGAGAGGGAAAGTGAGAAAGTAAGCTGCCAGGTTCAGGACTCAAACCTCAGTGGACCATATGGAAGTCCAGCACCTTAACTTAACTTCCACACCCCTGCCAGCCCTAATATATATATATATATACTGGGCGGATGACCACACCACGGTCCCTTCTCCTCCATTCTCCTCTTAGGATTTTGGGCACCCACGCACAAGTACCTGGCATGAATTTTAAGCCACCTAGTACGGCACTTAAACTGCAGTCAACTATGTGGGAGTTCAGTGATGTAACCATTATGCCATCTAGTGGTCCCAGGCCCCAGTGTATGTATGTGTGTGTGTATATATATATATATATTTTTTTTTTTTTTGGAGAGGTTTTTGCTATTGGGTGTGTGCGCTTGCCAGAAAGACAGACAGACAGACAGAGAGAGAGAGCAAGAAATCACCCCCCAGAGGGGATGGCCACGCCGCAATCCCTTCTTCTCCATTCTCTTGGGATCTTGGGCACGCCTGCACACGCGCCTGGCGTGAGTTTAAGCCACCGGGTCTGGGACTTGAGCCACACTTGACTACATGGGAGTCTAGCAACATAGCCATTACGCCAACTGCTGGTCCCAATAATTCTTTTTTATAAAGTTAAAATGTTAGAATTTAAGATTCTTTCAGCACTATTCCTCTCTTGCCCCCCCAGATAACTGTTGATGGGTATCTTTTTTTTTTTTTTTTTTTTTTTTGTTTACCAAAAGATGCATGCATGAGAGAGAGAGAGACCAAGCCCAGCGGACCTGGTCGTGCCATAATTATTGTTCCTCCTATTCTCCAGCTGATCAAGATACAGGACACACATGTGTATGCTTGGCTTGTTTTTTAAGCATTTGGGGCCAGAATTCAAGTAATGATCAGCCATGTGGGATCTAGCTCCCTTAACCATGAGGCTATGGGGCCAGCCCTCACATAGTTTTAATTCTTTTTTTTTTTTTGGAGAGGTTTTTGCTATAGGGCATGTGCACTCGCCAGACAGACAGAGAGAGACAGAGAGACAGAAAGCGAGAAATCATCCCTCTGGGGGGGATGGCCAGACTGCAATCCCTTCTCCTCCATTCTCCTCTCTGGATCATGGGCATGCATGCACATGCGCCCGACCCCTCACATAGTTTTTAAACATTCAAATTATATAGTAGTGTTGTTTTAGATTTTTCAAAAGTGAGAATATATAATCTACATAATAGGTAATGCAATTCTTCGTGCTGTATATTGTAGTATTCTGTCTCATGACTGCATTGCATTATTGTGTTATTCAGTCCCCTACTGAGGGACATGCTGGTTATTAACAGCTTTCCCCATTAGCCACAAGCTGTACAGAATATTGTCATTTGTGGGTTTCCTGTGGATGTGTGTAGGCACTTCTCTAGGATGGATACCTGCAGGTATTATTGCTGGTCACAGGGTATATACTTTACAGAGAGGTCCGGCCTGCTCTCCTCGTTTGGTAGGTGTTAAGTCAAAGCTCAGAGAGGTAGAGTGATGTATACAGGATAACACAGCAGGGAGCAGCAGAGGTGGAAATGGAACCTAGTCAGTGGCACTCCAAAACTGCATCTTTTGTGTCATGTCCTCAGTTTCCTTGTAGTCTGAGACATAGTCTCTGTCTCTCTCTCTCTCACACTGTCCAGATCTCCACATACATCACGGTGCCCCCATCCCCATTGATCCAGACCCTGGTGCAGGGGAACATCTTGGTGAGTGATGACGTGCTCATGTCCGCCATGTCGGCCTTCACATCCCTGGACCAGCCCATGCCTCAGGGCCCCCCACCTGTGCAGGTAAGGAGGCCACAGGGTCTTGATTCCAGGCCTGCATGCTAACTCCTGTGGATTTAGGATCTTGTGGAAACAGGGGCCTTGACCCCAGCTCTCTCCTTGGCTGAGGGGGATGGCCAGACTTCCCCTTGGTCAGCTCTGCCAGAGACAGGTGACTGTCACATTCAGGTGGGGACCCAGAATGTGTGGGCTTCTTCAGTCACAGTCCAGCTCTTTTGACCTCCTGTTTTTCTCTTCACAAAAGTGGTCCATGCACGGGACCAGCAGATAGAATAATGGCCATGTTATTGGACTCCCACATGGCTGACCATGGTTTGAGACCTGGACCTGTGTCTTAAATATCACATCAGGAGTGTGCGTGTGCGTGCCCAAGCTCCCAAGAGGAGAATGGAAGAGAGGCTCTAACAGTTTGATTTTATCTTCTGGTTTCAGAGTGGCCTGAACATGCATTCTGTGCCCAGCTACCTCACCCCCACCTCCTCCACCCCAGAGTCTTGGCCCCCCTGGGCGCCCCAACCCTGGTGGGAGTGGTGTGGTGGAGGTGTACAGTGCTGCTGCACCCCTGGCTGGGAATGGGACGGTGGAGATCCAGGCCTTGGGGATGCAGCCCTACCCACCCCTGGAGGTGAGCAAAGGTGTGGTTGGGGAAGGGGAAGCTGGTCGTGGTGATCCTGGGTAACCTGGACCTTTCCTGAGCACCAGCTGTGTGCCAGACACAGGGAGTGGAACCAAACCAAGCCCTGCCCTCTGGAGTATACAGGAAATGGCTTTGGTCAAAGCTTCACATCCTCAAATGGAAAATGCAAGCTGAGAAGAGGGGTGAAGTAGAGGTTGTGGCAGAAGAGCAAGCTGCCCTTGGGTAATGCTCAGGACAGTCATGGAAGAGCTGCACTTGAAGTCACGCTAGCCAGGACTCACCCTAGAACCCAGCCATGCAGGCATTCCATGACAGGAAGCATCTTCACATAGAGAGCCCTGCCCCGTGGGGAAATTCATCTCATGGTGTGTGATGTTATGAGAGCCTGCAAAGGGATTTGCTCCAACCTGAGAGGATGGGATTAATTGAGTTGTAAAAAACTTGAGTCAGTGGAAGCTAAGGTGATGCTGGTGGCTTGTGGCAGAGGGGTCAGCTCGTGCAGAGCCATTATTGTGTTTTCCATGAAGATGGTGGTGTACTTGGAGGACACGGCCTGAGTCTTATTTGACATCACACCCTTAGCACCTAGCAGCATTCCTGGCCTGTGATACACCTCTAGTAGGCATCTCATTTAGGGCGCTCTGACCTCAGTTTCCTCACCTTTAAAATGGGAATGCTCCTTGCTAAGCAGTTGAGGGAAGTAGGACCCTTAACCCAAAGGCAGCCGATTTAATTGCTTAGTAATGCCTTGACTCATGGGTGAATTCATTCATGTGACAGATATTTATTGAGTGCTCTATCGGTCAGAGTTTGGTCAGGCAGACACCACACTAAGCACTTCTGGCAGAGGGACGTTAGATGCGTACAAGGGGGTTGAGGAAGGGCTGGAGGAGCAAAAGGTGTGTTGGCAGGTGCCATGGTTTTCAGGTCGTGGCTTGGCGCAGAGAACCAGACACTGCTGCTGTGCTCAGAGGCGGAGGATACTGTAGGATTCTGCTGCAGATGTCCTAGCTGCCTGGTGGCCCTCGGTGCTGGTGACCAGGGGCTATGTAGATCCAGCCACTCCAGAATTCTCACTGCAAAGCTTGGCTGTCCCCCACCACAGCTGCTGGAGGAGAGCGGTATCTGCTTCCCTGTCCCTTCTAAGTCTCATGCAGCAACTTTTCATGGGCAGAACTCACTGTGTTCAGAGCTGTGCTAGCAAGGGAACTGGGGTCCAAGCAGCCCACCCTTGCCTTCAGGTGCCAGATCTGAAGGGGGCGGAGATAAGCCACCAGATCTGGAACTCAAACTGAGGTCGTCCACTTGGGAGTCCAGTGCCTTTAACCACCATGCCACCTGCCAGCCTCCAAAGTTCTTCTTTTTAGTTACTTTGAGATGCACAGCAAGCAGTTGCCCTCTGTATTGCCACGCTGTATTTTATAACACTAGACATTGTTCTCTATACCAACACCGAACAGATAAGATCCAGCAGAAACGGTTCTGGGTGCTGTATCAGATTCCAATGGCTTGCTATTTTTAAATATTTTATAAATGGATATATACTAATTGTACATATTTGTGAAAATACTATGTGATTTTTAAAAAAAAATATTTGTTTTACTTTATTATTATTTATTTTTAAATTTGAACAGAGATAGAAAGGGAAAGTGAGAGAGCAAGTTACCAGGTCTGGGATTCAAACCGCAATTGGCTATATGTGGGAGTCCAGCACCTCAACTGCCACACCACCTGGCGACACCAATATTATGTGATTTTACACTACAAGAATAGAATGTGTACTGATTCATTTAGGGTAATTAGCATCCTCATGTCAGTGAGTCATTATTACTTGCATTGGGAACATTAAAGTCTTTTTTTAAAAAGAATTATTTATTTATTATCATTATTTTTCAATTTTGACCAGAGAGCGACAGAGAGAGAGAGAGAGTAAGCCACCAGGTCTGGGACTCAAACTGAGGTCGTCCACATGGGAGTCTAGTACCTTTAACCACCATGCCACCTGCCAGCCCCCAAAATCCTTCTTTTTAGTTACTTTGAGATACACAGCAAGCAGTTGCCCTCTGTATCGCCACGCTGTATTTTATAATGCTAGACATTGTTCTCCTGTCCTGTCTATCTGCAATTTTATTTCTGGTAAGCACCATCTCTTCATTCCCCATCCTCCATTCTTCCCTGACTCTCAGCCATTGCTCATCCCTCTGCCTCTACCTCTCCGGGACCATTTGTTTCCATTTTCACACACAAGAGAGAATGAATACTTCAGTGTATTCATTCATTCATTCATTCACTCAGCAAATAGTCGTTGAGCACCCACCCTGTGCCAAGCATTGCTTTAGGCCTGGTGAGAGAGTAGTGGACAAAAGCAGACAAGATCCCCACCCTCGTGGAAGGCAGATAATAGGTAAGTAAGTAAAATATATACTTTTATATCATAATAAACCTGTGGAGAAAAATGAAGCAGAGTGATGGGAAGTAAAATTTTAAAATGGACAGCCTGGGAAGGCTAGTGAATGATGAGTAAGTGAATGAATACGTGACTTCTTCATAATGCGTTGGCGTCATGGTGTAAGCTTAGTGTTAATTTGAATAGCTCAGAATTCATTTTGATTGGTCCGCAGGTGGCATGTTGGTTGGGGCACTGGGCTCCCATATGGCTGAATATGATTTGAGTCCAGGACCTAGTGGCTTGTTTTGTCACTTTTCCTCTTTTTCTCTGGTGAATTGAGTAATAACGATAATAATAATAAATAAAATTAAATGAATAATTCTTAAAGAGTTCATTTGGTAATTTCTTGAGGCTTCGATGTCAGTTCCCATTTGAGAGAAGTTTACCACTGGTGGCGTCGGGAAGTGGAGTAGCACCGACTCTTTTGAACTCCTGGTCTCTTAGGCCAGCAAACTACTGCAAATAGTAATAATAATAGCAATAGTAACAGCTCGTGTTTTTCGGGTGCTTACTGCATGCCAGCCACTGTTCTAACTCTACGTTTACCTCTTTCAATCCTCACAACAACCCTATGAGAGGGGTACAGTGATTTGCCCCATTTTACACATGCGGAAACTGAGACAGAAGTTAAAAGATGCCCAAGGTCACTTAGGTGGTAAGTGACAAGTCAGGATTTGAATCTAGGCAGTGGTCTACCGGCTAATGAGGTTCTAAGGGGTCTTTGGTGTGACTGAGGGACTGAGCCAGGCAGAGGGTTAGGATGGCGAGGTAGGCAGGCAGTGGCCGAGATCAGCCAGGCAACAGAGTCCCCAGCTGGGCTGATTCTTGTCCTTCCCTCCCAGAGCTCTTTCTCTGACTGTGCTGTTCTTCCAGGTGCCAAGCCAGTGTGTGGAGGCTCCAGTATACCCTACCCCGCCAGTGTACAGTCCTGGCAAACAGGGCTTCAAACCAAAAGGACCAAACCCTGCTGCCCCCATGACAAGCGCCACTGGGAGCACGGTGCCCCCCTTCGAGTCTGCACCAACACTGAAGACCCGACGGGCTAAAGGCACCAGTGGACTTCCAGAAGGTAGGCCCCAGCCTGCCATGTGCATCTTTGTTCATACTGTCCTGTCCATGGGCTGCTTGGTTCTAGTCCTTTCTTTTATGATGGTTAGGATTAAGTTTGGTTGCCTGAAATAGAAAACAGAGTAACTCAGACTTCGAGATAATAGAATTTTCTTCTCTCCTGTGTAAAACAAGGCCAAAAACAGGCAATCTGGGGATTATGTCTCTGCATGGTCACCAGGCACCCAGGTTTCTCTTTTTTTTTTTAGAGAGATTTTTCCTATAGGACATGTGCACTCACCAGAGACAGAGAGAAAGTGAAAATCAGCCTCCAGGGGTTTGGAAACACTGTAATCCATCTCTTCTCCATTCTCCCCTCAAATTTTAGGTACACACACACATCCACCTGGCATAAGTTTCAAGCTACCGAGTCCAGGACTCAAACCATGATCCGCTACACAGGAGTCCAGTATGTTAACCACTATACCACCTGCAGGCCATGGTTTCTTTCTTTCTTTCTTTTTTTAAAAGATAGGTGCACTCAACTACTTGGGAGTCCAGCTACTTAACCATTACACCATCTGCTGGTCCTGCCCCGGTTTCTTTTTTAAAAAAATTGGGCTGGGTCCAGAAGTGGTGTGGTGCTTAAGGAGATGGACTCCCATGTGGCTGGCCATGATTCGAGTCCTGGACCCAGTGACTTGAAACATGTCAGGCTTATGTGTGTGCCCAAAATCCTGAGAGGAGAATGGAGGAGAAGGGATTGCAGTGTGGCCATCCTTCTAGGGGGATATTTCTCTCTTTCTGTTTCTCTGTCTGTCTGGTGAGCACATGTGTTCTATAGCAAAAATCTCTAAAAAAAGAAAAAAGAAAAAAAAATTGGGACCAGCAGGTGGCATGGGGTTTGGGGCGCTAGACTTCCACATAGCTGACAGCAGTTTGAGTCCTAGACTGGAGGCTTTTTTTCTCACTTTCCCTCTCTTTCTCTCTCTGGTGAGTGCACGTGCCCTATAGCAAATTTAAAAATAGCAATTATCATAATAATAAATAATTTAAGAAAATCACCGTAGGGTGTGAGAGGGACAGATAGAGGGAAAGTGAGAAAATACCCCTCCTGGGAGATAGTCATGCTGCAATTCCTTCTCCATTTGTCTTTTTTGAGATTTTGGGCATGTACATACATTCACATACATGTGCCCAGTATGTTTTCAAGTCACCAGGTCTGGGATTCACACTGCACAGTTGATCATAAGGAATCTAGCTGCCTTAACCACCATACCACTAGCTGGCCCACCCCTATTTATTTTGCCTTTCAGTTCTGTCATCCTTAGGGCGTGACTTCAGGGCAAGGTGCTTCATTGTCTAAGGTGCTCCTGAAGATCCAGTCAGTAATTTCACCTTCCAGGCAGCAAAAAGAAAGAAGGGAAGGATAGGGGAGTATTTCCCAGCTTCTAGAAATTCTACCTCATACTTTTTTTTTTTTTTAAAGAGAGATTTTTGCTATAGGGTGTGTTTGCTCGCCAGAGAGACAGAGAGAGACAGAGAGAAAAAAAGTAATCCCCCCCCCTGGGGGGGATGGCCACGCCGCAGTCTCTTCTCCTCCGTTCTCCTCTCGGGATCTTGGGCACACATGCACACTCACCTGGTGTGAGTTTAAATCGCCGGGTGTGAGTTTAAATTGCTGGGTCTGGGACACGAACCACAGTCAACAGCGTAGGAGTCCAGTGACGTCACCATGCCATTTGCTGGTCCCTCTATGTCATACTTTTACTTTAATCTGTTTGGTGAAGACTTAGTCACATGGCCGTACCTAGCTGCAAAAGAAACTGGGAAATTCCTCTTTTAGCTAGGAATATTGACATTCCCATTATGTAGGAGTTTGTGAGGAAAGAAGGAAGAAGAGGAGAGTGGATCTTAGGCAGGCAGTGGCAGTGTCTGCCACCCCCTTCGAGATGGGGTGGGAAGAGAAACTGAGTTTTTCAGGGACTTTCCAGCCAGCTGCTTCCTCCCTTCCTTCCACAAACGTGTTGCGCATCTGTGCACTTGGCCCAGTGTCAGACACTGGGGATCCAGTATCTTAGTCCATGATTTCTTCTGCTCACTGTTTTTTTTTTTTTCCCTCAATGTTTTATTTATTTCTTCTACAAGTGAGAAAGACACAGAAAGTCAGCTCCCCCAACTTGACCCCTATGGAGTAGTCCACCCCCAGCCTCAGCCAGTCCCAGATCTCAGGTACACATGTGCCTGGCCTACTCAGGGAGGTCTCCAGATGTAACCCTGAAAGTGCCCGGTGTGGGCCAGTGTCATGTTTTACACTGCACCACCATCCAGCCTCTCCTCGGAGTTTAATGGGACGGACAGACAGGGAATAACCATGTATTCATGTTGCTCTTGGAAGGAGATCAACAGTGGCTGGGGAGAGGTTGCAAAATGGTGCTACTTGTCCATCAGAGTAGAAGTATCCCAGTAGGTATCTGAGGGCCAGGCATTCCAGGCAGGGGGAATTGCAGGTGCAAAGGCCCAGAGGTGAGACCATGCTGAGGTCTTTCAAGGTCAGCAAGGGATCCATTGTAGCTGGATAAAAAGACTGTGAGGTTGGCATCAGTCAGAAGACCCAGGGCACTGTTGGCCATAGAGGGTCCATTTTATCCCAGGGATTTGTTCTGCCTTCTGAGCCATAGCATGTTCTGGGCATACCTCCCTGAGCACTGTGAGAAGCTCACCTGTGTCTCTCACCCCACCTGTGCATGGTGTAGACTTTCCTGCAACCAGTGGGCTATCTGGCCCCAGGTCCAGGGGATGGATGGCTGAAGGTTGACCTTTGTAACCTTAGCTGTGCCCCAGCCTCAGTGTACATCTTCTCCCACTTTGTCTTTCACCTGCAGGGAAGCCAAAGGCTCAGAAGCTCAAGTGCTCGTACTGTGACAAATCATTCACCAAAAACTTCGATCTGCAGCAGCACATCCGAAGGTACATGGGGATAGTGCCTGGGGGCCATGAGCTCCTGGGCTGAGGCCTTGTCTCCATCTCCCCATCCCTAATGAGCCTTGTCTCCACAGCCACACCGGTGAGAAACCCTTCCAGTGCATTGCGTGCGGCCGTGCCTTTGCCCAGAAATCTAACGTCAAGAAACACATGCAGACCCACAAGGTGTGGCCTCCAGGTCGCAGTGGTGGCACTGTCTCTCGCAACTCTGTGACTGTCCAAGTCATGGCTCTGAACCCCAGTAGGCAGGAAGATGAGGAAAACACAGGTGGGTAGAAGTCACGAAATGCTGCTCTCCCCGTGCTCTTCCTCTGGTGCTTTGCAGAGTTTGTTGCTAACTGTGTGATCTTGGGCAACCTCCTTGTCCTCTCTGGTTTCAGTCTACTTTATAAAATAAGGCAGAGGGTAAAAGGAAGGATGAGAAATACATGATATGTGTGGCATTAATCTAATACTGACATCACTAATCAATCACCTACATTTATTTGTTTGTTTATATTTTGCTAAGCCTGAATCTAATCTATTTTTAATAAATTGCTCCAAGCAGTCACTCTTGTTGATCAGGAGTTGAAATCTATTTGATCTCCATGGGCAGCTGGTCTCCAAAGTCCCTTACACATTATGGAATTCTCAAGTCATCACTTGTCCCTAAGCTAATGATCCTGTCCCTGTTAGTGGTTTAGTTCCTCTCCTGTATGAGAGTTCAAGATTTACTAGGTCTAGAATTATACTATCCAACAGAAACATAGTATGAGTGGGTCTTGCAGATGGCATAGTGGTTATATTGCTGGACTCCCATGTAGTCAACCCTGGTTTGAGTCCTGGACCTGGTGGCTTAAAATTCACACCAGGCACATGTGCATGCATGCCTAAATCCCAATAAGAGAATGGAGGAGAAGGGATTGGGTGTGGCCATCCCCCTGGGGGATGATTTCTTACTTTCTGTCTCTCTGACTCTGTCTCTTCAGCAAGCACACATGCCCTATAGTAAAAATCTCTCTCTAAAAAAAAGAAAAATAATATAGTATGAGTAACATTTGTCATTTAAAATCTCCTCATAACTACATTAAAAATAATTTAAGGGGCCAGCAGGTGATGTAGTGGTTAAGGCACTGGATACTCCCACATGGCCGACCATAGTTTGAGTCCTGGACCTGGTGGTTTGCTTTCTCACTTTCCCTCTCTCTCTGGTCAAAATAAAACAAATGAATTAATAGATAAAATTAAATAAGTAATTTTTTAAAAAAAAAATTTGAAAAGGGGCCAGCAGGAGAGTGGTGGTTAAGGATGCTAGACTCCCACAAGGCCGATTGTGGTTCAAGTCCTGGGCCTGGTAGCTTGCTTTCTCCCTTTCTCTCTCTTGCTCTCTCACTCTGTCCCTCTCTGGTCAAATTAAAAAATAAATTAATTAATAAAGTTAAATAAAATAATTCAAAAAGGGCCCAGCAGGTGGCATGGTGGTTAGGGAGCTGGACACTCCCACATGGCCAACCATGGTTTGAGTCTTGGACCTGGTGGCTCACTTTCTCATGTTCCTCTCTCTCCCTGTCTCTTTGTGTCTCTCTCTGGTAGAATTAAAATAAATGAATGAAAAAGTAAAATTAAAAAAAATTAATGTGAAATATAAAATTAATTTTAATATATTTTAACTAACCAAATATATTAATATTATCATTTTAACATGTAATATAAGGAAATTATTAATGAGATATTTAACTTTTTGTTTTAAAGTTTTTAAAAAGAATTATTTAATTTAACTTTATTTCCTTATTTTAATTTGACCAGAGAAGGACAGGATGAGAGAGAGTGAGAGAGGGAAAATGAGAAAGCAAGCTGCCAGGTCCAAGACTTGAACCACAGTCAGCCATGTGGAAGTCTAGCACCCTTAACCACCACACCACCTGCCGGGCCCTGTTTTAAATTTTTGAAATCTAGCATGTGTTTATATTTACAGCATCTCTGGACTTGGACCAATCGCATGTATCTTAACTTTATTTATTTATTTATTTATTTTAATTTGACCAGAGAGGGACAGAGTGAGAGAGGGAGAGGTGGAAAATGAGAAAGCAAGCTGCCAGGTCCGGGACTCAAACTGTGGTTGGCCATGTGGGAGTGTCCAGCTCCCTTAACCACCATGCCACCTGCCAGCCCCCAAAATAACAGGCTGTATTTTTTTTAATCTAATTTTTTTTTAGAATTATTTTAACATTTTTTAAAAATTAATTTTAATTTTGACCAGAGAGGGATAGAATAAGAGAGAAAGAGAGAGCAAGTTAGAAAGCAAACTGCCATGTCTGGGACTTGAACTGCAGTTGGCTATGTGGCAGTCCAGTGCCCTTAATCACCACACCATCTTCAGGCCCCTCACATTTCTTTTCTGAGCTCACAGGAGAGAGACAGACGGTGAGAGAGAGGGAAAACACCTCTGTGGTGAATAATCTACTATTATTCCATCTCCATCTCCTTCCTTTTGGGATTTTAGGCATGCACACACATGTGCCCAGCATGTTTCTCAAGCCGCTGGGTCCAGGACTTGATCATGTGTTTGACTATGTGAAATCCAGCCACCTTAACCACCACACCACAGGTTGGCCCTTAATCACATCTTTTATTTATTTTTTTTAAGTTAGAATGACGGGGGCAGCAGGTAACATGGTAGCTAAGGCAGCTGGACTCCCACGTGGCTGACCATGTTTCGAGTCCTGTACCTGGCAGCTTGCTTTCTCACTTTCCTTCTCTCTGTCTCCCTCTGGTCAACTTCAAAATAAAATAAAATAAAATAAAATAAAATAAAAATAATGACAATGAATAAAATTTTTTAAAAAGAATAAAGTTAGAATGACTTTTTAAAAAAATTACTTTATTTTAAAAAAATTATTTTAACTTTATTTATTTATTCAATTTTAATTTGACCTGATAGTGACAGAGCAAGAATGAGAGTGAGAGAAAGGAAAAGTGAGAAAGCAAGCTGCCAGGTTCGGGACTCAAACTGTAGTCGGCCATATGGGAGTCCAGCTACGTTAACCACCATGCCACCTGCTGGCCCCAACACATCTTAAGTTCTCAGTACCCACATGTGCCCATAAGCCCCTACTCTAGACACTGTAGAGCCAGAGCCTGAGCTTTTCCTATGTCCCCAGGCTGAGCAATGCCAGCCACATGCTGGCTAATGAAGTGAGGATTTTGTTTGGCAAATGACATGTTGGCCACTTCATGTTGGAACAGTCCTACTGTGTGCCTTCTGAGTTCTTGTGAGCTCCTCAGAAAAGAACCCAAAACTCCTACAGGCGTAGCACCAAAGGTTCAACCATTTAGCAAACATTTATGGAGACCAAGCCACTAGGCCTATTGAGGTGAGGTCAGAAGTCCTCGATGTCAAGGAAAGTGAGGAACAGTCTAGTGATGGAAGAACAATGAAACAGATGATTATAATTAGAACAGGGGTCTGGGTGGGAGCCAGCAAAGTGACATGGTGGTTAAGGCGCTGGACTCTCACGTGACTGACTGTGGTTTGAGTCCTGGACCTGGTGGCTTGCTTTCTTACTTTCCCACTCTCTCTCTGGTCAAATTTTTTAAAAATGATGATAATAAAGTTAAGTAAATAATTCTTAAAAAGAGAAAAAAAGAACAGGGGGCTGGGGAGGCCTGTGAGTACAGCTAGGAGTATTGTTCAGAATTGTTAACAACCATGGGGAGGTCTACAGTGTCTGAGTGGAAGGCCAGGAAGGGGAGTCTTGAGGCAATAGCCATTTCTCAATCAGAATGTAAATGTTTCATTTAACACCTGGAATGGCTGTATCAGCACCTTCAGTACCGTCGCCAACACCAAGCACATAGTAGGTGGTGGGGTAAACACAGAGGAGCACACAGTAGGTGTTCTGTGACTCCTTCCTGCATGGCACGGCTCCTGGTCCTGACTCTTCCTCACCTTCTCAAGTGTCTCCCATCCCTGGCTTCTTCCACAGGGTTAGGCCAGACCCTGTCGAGTTCACCACAGCCCCAGTCCTTGCCCACGGCAGGTGAGGATGACGGGGACAAGCTGGAGACCAAGCAGGTGGTCCTCATCGATAGCTCCTACCTGTGCCAGTTCTGCCCCAACAAGTTCAGCACCTACTTCCAGCTCAAGTCCCACATGACACAGCACAAGAATGAGCAGGTAGGTGGGGGAGGAGCAGCAGCAGGCCGCAACTATCCTAGTCACGACCTTTGGTTGGGGTGCGGGTCCTTAATGCTGCCTGGAAGGGGAGGGACAACTTTCCCACAGCTCTGACTTTTTCCTTAGGATAGATCCTAGCAGGAGGATTGATGAAGTGAAATTAGGTTACCCTTTGGGCAAATCACAGAAAACTTTGATTCAAACTGTCTTGAACAGTTAGGAATGTTGTCATCTCCCAGCACAAGAGGCCTGAGACGACAACTGACTTGACCCAGCATCAGGGTTGTCTTTCTAGTCCTGTCAGGGTGTGGCTTTGTCCTCTACTGATGGCTTGACATATGCTTCTAGGATACTGGTCACTTTTTTCAAGCTGCCAGGGTCAAGACTCAAACCACAGTCAGCTATGTGGGATTCAGCTTCCCTAAACCACCAGGCCCTGGGACCCAATGTTGGTCACTCTTTCTAGGCAACAATCCAGATATTATGCATGAGCAAAAAGGGGTTATTTATTTATTTTTGAGAGAGATTTTTGCTATAAGGCACACAGCTCTCCTAAGAGCAAGACAGAAGCAAGAAATCACCCTTAGGGTTTATGGCCATGCCGCAGTCCCTTCTCCTCCATTCTCTGGGGATTTTAGGCATACATGCCTGGCACGAGTTTCAAGCTGCCAGGTCCAGGACTTGAACCACAGTCGACCATGTGGGAGTCTAACACCTTACCCACTATGTTACCTGCTGGTCCCTTCTGTATCTTTTTTTTTTTAAAGAATTATTTTATTTAACTTTATTTATTATTTATTCATTTGTTTATTTCAATTTGACCAGAGAGGGACGAGAGAGAGAGAGAGATAGAAAGTGAGAAAGCAAGCTGCCAGGTCCAGGACTCAAACCATGGTCGGCCAGCACCTTTAACCACCACGCCACCTGCCAGCCCCTTCTGCATCTTTTTTTAAGAGCAAGGGCATTTTCCTAGAAGCACTCCATAGATCTCTCATTGACAGAGCCAGTGCACGAGCTCTCTCAGAATGCATTGTTAAACACAGATGATTGAAAACTGGCCTAAGGGTTAGGCTTTTTGTTTTTTGTTTTCTCACATCAGAAGTCCAGGGGGCCATCCTGTGACCTGCTGGTTAAGATGGCCAGATTATGTGGTTTGAGTCCCAGACTCAGAGATTTGAAAAACACACTAGGTGTGCCCAAAATCCCAAAGAAGGGAGCTATGGAGAAGGGATTTCAGCATGACTCCTTATGGGAGTGATTTCTCTCTCTCTCTCTTCAGTGAGCACACATCCCTCTTACAAATTAAAAAAAGAAAATAATGATAGTTTTTGTTTTTTAAATTGGCTATAAGGTGTGTGTGCTTGCTAGGGAGACAGAGAGAGAAAAAAAAGAAAAAAGGAAAAGTGAGAAAGCACTTCCCAGGAGGACAGCCATGCCACAATCCCTTCTCCATTCTCCACTAGGGATTTTGACACACACACACACACACACACACACACACATCCAGCGTGTTTTTCAAGCCACCAGGCCCAGGACTTAAACCAAGCAGTTGGCCATGTGGGATTCATCTGCCTTAACCACTATGCCACCAGCTGGCTCAATGATAATAACAGTTTTTAAAAAAGAAGTCCAGGACTGGCTCCATGGCCTGCTGTTTGAAGCAGCTGGATGGCCAAGTGTGTGATTAGAGCCCCAGTCCCCGTGGCTTGAGGAACATGCTGAGCATATGTATGCATGTGCCCAAAATTCCAAAAGAAGGGAGGGATGGGTGGGAAGGGATTGCAGTGTGACAATTGCCCATTGGGGAGTGCTTTTTCCTCTCCCTCTCTGTCTCTCTATTCCTTTCTGGTAAATACCATGCACCCTCCAGCCAAAACCAAAAACAAGTCCCTAAGTAAGCAGTGCTGGGCTTGTATAGCAGGTCGGGTATGTCATTGTGGACTCAAGCGTCTGGGTTTCTTCTCTGACATTCTTAGCTTGTGGCATTCATCCTCAAGGTTGCAAGGAGGCTGCTATACTTCCACCTGTCACATTTATATCTCAATCAGGACAAAGGCAAAAAGCAAGAGGCATTTCTTCTAGGAACCTTTTGCCTTTTTGTTCTGGGAGTGGTGCCATCCCCAAGACTACTGCCTATGTATCATTGGCAAGAAGGGAGTCACATGGCTGACATGCAAGGCAGGGAAACTGAGAGAGCAAACATTTTATTTATTTTTTAATTATTTAATTTTATTCATTCATTCATTTATTTTAATCTGACCAGGGAAACACACACACACACAGGGGGGAAAGAGAGAGAGAGAGAAAGAGAGAGAGAGGGAAAAAGAGAGAGAGAGAAAGAGAAAGTGAGAAAGGAAGCCATCATGTCTGGGACTTGAACCGTGATTGGCCATGTGGGAATGTCCAGCACCTTAACCACCACGCCACCTGCTGGTCCCAAGAGCAAGTATTTTAATCAGGCATGTTGCCACCCTAGGCAAATCAGGGTCTATCTACTTTGTTAGGAAGGAGGAGCGTGTGATGCTGTGTGGGCAACCAGGAACGTGAACTACTCACCAAAGGATAATATTCAAAATGTTAAAAACGTAATTCACCTACAAGTGAGACTGAACATGAGTCACAAGTTTCCTGAACTCATTAATGAGGGAACTGGAAGGATGACAGAGGAATGCTAACAGGGATAGCAGACTGGTCTCTACACTCATCTGTAACCATCAGGGATAGGGTGTATTGAATCAGAGTGCCAAGGTAGATACAAATCCAGTCAGTGTCCTGCAGGGCAACAGGCCAACCTTGACCTTTGGGGTTATCTTCTCTATCTGACAAAAATTACTTACATCAGATGATTTTCTTTTTTCTTTTAACTTTATTTATTTATTTACTTATTTATTTTAATTTGACCAGAGAGGATCAGAGTGGGAGAGAGGTGAAGTGAGAAAGCAAGCTACCAGGTCCGGGACTTGAACCACAGTAGGCCATGTGGGAGTCCAGCGCCCTCAACCATCACGCCACCTGCTAGCCCCTCATCAGATCATTTTTTGCAAGTTAATATTTAATAGTCAGGGCTGGCAGGTGGCGTGGTGGTTAGGATGCTGGACTTCCACGTGGCTGACTACGTTTGCCTCCCAAACCTGGCAGCTTGAAAATCACAGCAGGCATGTATGTGTGCATGCCTGCCCAAAATCCTAGGAGGAAAATGAAAGAGAAGGGATTACAGTGTGGCCATCCCCCTGGGAGAGTGACTTCTCACCGTCTCTCTCTTTTTCTCTCTCTCTTGTGAGCACAGGTACACTATGGCAAGAAATAAACAAAAAATTAACGGTAGAAGCAGGGTCCTGATCCACAGTAAATAGTCAAAACTAGCCATGTCCCCAGAGAGTGAGATGACCCATGACAGGCTTGCTAGACAGCAGTTCTTGAAATGAAGTCCCCGGCCCAGCAACCTCAGCATCATGTGGTTATTCTTTGTTCAGAATGCTCAGATTTAGGCCCAAGTCAGATGCTGAGCTACATGACCTGGAGGATGGCTCCCAGCAATCTGCAATCTGATGCCTGCTCGGGCATGAGAGCCACCACTCCAGTATGACATTGAAAGGACCTGCTGTCACTTTTCCCTGTATTTCTAGGTCAATGATACTTTTTATAAATACAAGTTGACTTTGAAAAATATGCAGAAAAAATAGAATTTATCATTTTATTTCAGTGTAAAAAATAATTGAAATCTATGCAGAATTTTTTTTCATAATATGCATTTTCCATGAGCTCTTTGTTTTGTTTTGTTTGTTTGTTTGTTTGTTTAGTTTGCTATAGGTTATGTGTGCTTGCTGGGAGAAATAGAAGGAGAGAAAGTGAGGAAGCATCCTCCCCACCCAAGGGGATGGCTATGCTGCAATCCCTTCTCCTCCATTCTCCTCTCAGACTTTTGGGCACACATGCACACATTCCCAGTGTGTTTTTCAAGCGACTGGGTCGAGGACTCAAACCACATAGTCGGCCTATGGGATCTAGCCATCTTAACCTCCATACCACCTGCTGGCTCTCCATGAACTCTTTGAAGACCCTTAATAAATCCAGGCCTCACAGAACCTCTGGGAAGGGTAATGGGGCCACCGAGACTGGTTGAAAAGAGAGAACCCTTATCAGTATCTGGGGAGCAGGGGACCAGTGATCAAGCCATTCCCAGCAATATCTAAGGCCAGTGCCACAGGGAAGAGGCAGGCTTACGGACAGCTCCCTGACTTCTCTTACATGCCTGGCATCTTCCCCCAGGTTTACAAGTGTGTGGTCAAAAGCTGTGCCCAGACATTCCCGAAGCTTGACACGTTTCTGGAGCACATCAAGAGCCACCAGGAGGAGCTGAGCTACCGCTGCCACTTGTGTGGCAAGGACTTCCCCTCACTGTATGACCTGGGCGTGCATCAGTACTCCCACAGCCTCCTGCCTCAGCACAGCCCCAAGAAGGACAGCGCTGTCTACAAGTATGTGCCCTTGCACTTCCCGGGAGGGAGGGAGAAAGCACCCTCCAATGGGGACTGGTCACGCTGCAGTCCCTTCTCCATTTCCTGGTTGGATGGACAGCAGGCCGCAAGCCTAGGATCTGCAGCCTTGGTGGTTCTGACTGCTCAGGACCAGTGAGACACCTCGAAGGGGAAACCAAGGCTCTGGACTGCAGTCCAACATGGCAAAATGGGCTTGGGCACTGTAGGGGGAAAGACTCTGGCTCTCCTTATATCATTCTTCAATTTGGCAGGCATTTATCCTAAAACAAACAAAAAAAAGCTTTAGGAAGGGAAACCAATATTTTCTCATGCGTGGGAAAAAAAGGTTAAATTGTTTTTCCGTACCAAAAAATTATGAAAATGTTTTGTCTCATAATCTATAAAATTTAAGTTATCATCAAAATTCCTTCATTCTTAGAATGAAAAAGAATGAGCAAGAACATGTTTGAAAGCAAAAAATCATAAAAATAAGTTGTTTTAGAATTGGTCAAATTGGGAGCTGGTAGGTGGCATGGTGGTTAAGTATGCCAGACTCCCACATGGCTGACCATGGTTCAAGTCCTGGACCTGGTGGCTTGCTTTCTCACTTTCCCTCTCTCTCTCTCTCTTGTTCTGTCCCTCTCTGGTCAAGTTAAAAATGAATGAATGAATAAATAAATAAATAAATAAATAAAGTTAAATAACATAATTCTTTTTTAAAACACTATTTTATTTAACTTTTATTTATACATTTTATCATTATTTATTTCAGTTTGACCAAAAGGAATAGAATGAGACAGAGAGTAAGAGAGAAAGTGAGAAAGCAAGCTGCCAGGTCCAGGACTTGAATAGTGATCCACCAAGTGGGAGTCCAGCATCCCTAACCATCATGCCACCTGCTGGCCCCCAATAAAATAATTCTTTAAAAAAAAAGGAATTGGTAAAATTTTGGTACAAGTTGAAGCTAAATGCTGATTCCTTTTTTGCACTTTTTAATTTTTTAAAGAATTAACTTTATTTATTAAATTAATTTTATTTACTTTAATTTGACCAGAGACATATGACATATATATATATACACACACACATATATATATATATATATATACACTTGTTGGTCCCTCTTTTTTCACTTTAAAAAAAAATTTGCCTTGGGACCAGCAGTTAGAGTAATGGCTATGTCGCTGGACTCCCATGTAGTTGACCGTGGTTCGAGTCCCGGACCTGGTGGCTTAAACTCACGCTGGGCGCGTGTGTATGCCTGCGTGCGTGTGTGCCCAATATCCCGGGAGGAGAATGGAGGAGAAGGGATTGCGGTGTGGCCATCCCCCCTGGGGGGTGATTTCTTACTTTCTGTCTCTCTGTCTCTCTCTCTCTGTCTTTTCTGGCGAGCGCACACGCCCTATAGCAAAAAACTCTCAAAAAAAATTTTTTTTTGCCAGAGGATGCTTGCACTCACAGGAGAGAGATGGGGGTGAGGAGGTTAGAGAGCACCTCCCGTGAGGGATAGTCACTCTGCAATCCCTTCTCCATTTCTCCCTCCTTCCAATATCCATTCTCCTCTTGGGATTTTTGGGCACTCACACACATTCGCCTGGTGTGAGTTTTAAGTCACTAGGTCTGGGACTCTAACTGCGGTCAACTACGTGGGAATCCAGCAATGTAACCATTACACCTTCTGCTGGTCTCCCCATTATGTTTCTTCTTTATTTTTTTAAAGAATTACTTTATTTAATTTTATTTATTTATTTAAATTTGACCAGAGAGTGACAGAATGAGAGTGAGAAAGAGGAAAAGTGCGAAGGCAAGCCACCAGGTCCAGGTCTTGAACCGCAACCAGCCATGTGGGAGTCCAGCACACCATCTGCCGGCCCCTCCCCAGTATGTTTCTCAAGCCACTGAGTCCAGGACTCGAACTGTGCAGTCATCCACCTTAACCACTATTCTTAGGATGAATAAGGCATGAATGAAGTGTAGATTTAACCTGGGATAATTTTTTTCTAATAATCCTTTACATCACTTTAGTCTTCCATTATGGCCATAAAGAGAGTCCCTTAGGCAAAAAATGATGAGGTGCTCCCTCAGCTTTGCCACATGTTCCTAATTCTTAGATTTTCAAATCATTCTCTTTGGAACAATCAATCCTGTGATCACCCTTGCTGCATTTCTCTCCCTCGATTGTTTTCCCCCTGCTAGGCCCTCCCTTGTTGCTAGTGTTGCCTGTAGATAATCATGACTTCATGGAATCCTGCATTTTTGCCCTGTGATCATTTGCTGGGTATTTGCTCCATACCCCAGGGAGCAGCTGCCTCCCAAAGCCAAGCAGTGCCTGAGAATAGGTGGTTGTGAAAGTGGAAGGAGAGGAGCCCTGTTTGTCCGGGACTTGGTCCAGTTCATTAGTGAATGTTGTTTTCAGTGTATTTATTTATTTATTCTATGAGAGGAGGAGACCGAGAGGTTGTATCCCTAACAAGATCTTTATGCTGTGATCCCATGCCCAGCGTGGTCTCCCCAGTGTGGAGTGTTGTATAAAAAAAAGTGTGGAGTGTTGTATGCCTGCTGCGTCACTGTGACTGACTCCTCAGTGAATATTTTCATGTTACGATGGCTTTTACTTTTCTGTACAAACATACCTGCAGGGACTTAGCTGATGATTCTGTTACTGGATTCTCCTGTAACTCCTGGGTCAGGTTTCTGGGGTTTAGAGATAAGCAAAGACAGACCTTGAGATTAGAATGCATGGCTGCTCAGAGAGACGGGTGTGTAAACAAATGCTTACCACACACTGTGATAAAATGCTATGGTATATGTTCGTATAGGGTGTAGAGGTATCACACCTGGCAGAGTAGAGAAGCTGTCCCAGAAGCAGTGACATCTGAGCAAGGCCTTGGAGAACGAGTAGGAGTTTGCCACGTAGACAATGCGTGGAATGGAGTCCATTCCGAGCAGGAGGACCAACAAGGATAGAGATGCAAAATACCGTAGCAAGTGGTTTAGAATGACTCTTGGTAGAGTGGAAGCAGAAGTTCAGATGGGACCTGTGGGAGAAAGGGGGGCCAGGGTATGAAGAGCCATATAGAAACCAGAAATGCTTTGAGGGGTTGGTAGAGAGTGGGATTCAAGAAATGGAGTGTAGGGCAGAGAGACTGGGAAATGGGACCAGAGAGGCAGGGAATCCAGGCAGCTTTGGATAGCCAAGGAACAGGTGCCTAGGTAGCAATAAATAATTCCATTTGTACCCAGGGGGATTTTCTTTTGTTTTTGCCCTTCCAGTCTGGACCATCTGTGAGTTTCTGGGCTGTGTGGCTCTTTGGAGGGAGAGTCCATGTAAAGGGCTGGAGTACCTACTGTGTGTTTGTCCAGCTCTGACTTAGGGACATTGAGTGCTGCCGTCCTGGGAGATAGGTGATGTTCTCTCCATTTTGAAGATGAGGACATGGGTCAGAGAAGAGGCCTGCTCACCACAGTAACATCAGCACACAACCGGGACTCGGACTGTCTGAAGTCTTGTAAATTCCACAGCTCTGGTCCTAGCATTTGCAGGCCGAGAGTTGAGCCCAGTGCTGATGACCCAGGGTAGGTCTCTTGCAGGATCAGAGAGGCCCTTTGTAGATGTTGGAGCTGCTGTCCTGGCCCTGTGAAAGTAAGGCCTTCGGAGATGGGTCCCCATCTGGATGGCCTGATGGTACATGGTAACAGTAAGGGCTCTAGAACCACCTGCCTGTGCTCCAATCCCATCCTCACTGCAAATGCAATGGATGACTTTGGGCAAGGTATTCAGCCACTCTGGGCCTCGGTTTCCTCATCTGTGATATGGAGATCATGACGGTGCCTACCCTATTGGAATATTTCTAAGGATCAAGAAAGATTGGGACCAGCGGATGGCATAATGGTTACATCACTAGACTCCCAATGTAGTCAACTGTGGTTCCAGTCCTGGACCTGGCAGCTTGAAACTCACACCGGGCCCATGTGTGTGAGTGCCCCAAATCACAAGAGGAGAATGGAGGAGAGGGGATTGCAGCATGGCCGCAACCCCCGGGGAGCGATTTCTTACCTTCTGTCTCTCTGTCTCTCTCTGTCTCTCCAGTGAGTGTATGTACCCTATAGCAAAAATCCCTAAAAAAAAAAAAAAAAGATGAAGCATAGGCACACAGATATGGTGTCTGGAGCATAGTAAATATGATTGCTATAATTACTATCCTCTCCTCTTCTCTGCTCTGCTCTGCTCTTCTCTTCTCTTCTCTTTTTTCAGATGGGACCTGCGGGAGAAAGTTTTATTATGGGCATGTATACTCTCCAGAGAGAGAGAGAGAGGGAACGTAAGAAATCACCCTCAGGTTAGGGGATGACCATGTCACAATCCCTTCTCCTCCAGTCTTTTTGGGATTTGGGGCCCATGCACATAAACCCAGTGTGATTGTCAAGCCACCAGGTCCGGGACTCAAGCCGTGCAGTTGACCACGTGGGATCCAGCACCTTAACCTCCATGCCACCTGCTAGCTCACAATTATTGTTCTTATCTTATATAGATGTAGATTTGGCTGCAAGTAATAGAAACCCCTAACAATAGTCTAAACAAGGCGAGAACCTGTGGCTCTCTCGCAGTAATGTTTGTGCTGGTTTGGTAGCTTCATCAGGGGTCCAGCCCTGTTCTAGGTTGCCATGTTCTTCCCTGTGAGCCACATGCCCTTGGACAGCCTATGGGAACCACCCCAAACCTCTGAAGTGAACCTCATAAATAATAACAGAAAATTTCCATTTATGTCCTTCAGCCAGATTTTTCCAACTATTAATGTTTTACCACATTTGCTTTTTCATATTCCGAAGTATTTGAGAGTACTTTGCAAACATGTACCCCTTTGCCCTGTCTCTTCATTATGTATGTTCTAAAAACAGGGATGACCTCTTATTAAGCACAGAATAGCTATCAAAATCAGGAAGTTAACAAGCTCACAGTTCTGTTATCTAATCTACAGGCCTTATTCAAAGTTATCCAGTTGTTCCAATAACATCCTTTATAGAAAAAGAGAAAAATGTTTTTCTGGCCTAGAGTCTACCCCAGGATCACACATTGCATTCCATTGTTGCATCTTTGTAGTCTCCTTGAAGCCAGAAAGCTTCTGAGTTCTGCCGTTGTCTTTCATGACCTTGATAGCTTCGAAGAGTACAGACGAGGTATTGAGTAGAATGGCCTCGGTTTGAGTGTGCTCTTACCTTGGGACCAGGTCCAGGAGCATACTGGCAGGAACATCATGAGCGATACGGTGTCCTTCCCTGTGTACCAGATCAGGGTATGTGTGACGCCGATGTGCCCATTCTGTTGCCCTTTCCTTGGGTGAATTAAGGTGATGTTTCTGGCAGGGAGCTTTTGCTAAATTACCTCTCACACGAGCCTATGCCTTCTCCCCACTGAAGCCTGTGAGATTCTGTCCTCCCCTACCCCACCAGCTGGTTAGGTCTCTGCCCTCTTGGTACCTCTCTTTTCACCCCACACCTCTTCTTTCTTGCCATCTGAAGGCATTTTCAGAATGTGGCCTGAGGGGGCCCCTTGGGCCTGCTGCAGGTGCAAGCTGCCTGGAGTTTCCCACGGTGGTATGGGTGTACAGAATGACAAGGCCCACATTTCTGTTTTTCATGTGACCTACCTGCCCACCTACCCTGACATTCCTCACTGTATCTCATAAATGAGCCCATTTGCAGGCAGGTATTTTCATGGTGGGAAGATGGTAGCATCTGCATTCTTTTTTAGAGTTTATTTATTTATTTATTTATTTATTTATTTTGCTGTAAGGCATGTGCTAGAGAGAAGCAGAGACAGTGAGAGGGAAAGTGAGAAATCATTTGCCATGCCACAATCCTTTCTTCTCTACTCTCCTAGAACTGTGGGCATGCACACACACACTCCTGGTGTGATTTTCAAGCCGCCGAGTCCAGAACTTGAACTATGATTGACCAGGTGGGAGTCCAGCACCTTAACCACCTGCTGGCCCCTATTTTTTCTTCCTTTTAAATTTATTTATTTATTTCTTCCATGAGAAAGAGAGACAGACAGAGAGACAGCCACCTCCAACAGGGTCCTCACACCCCAACCCACCCTTTATCTCAGCCAGCCCAGATCATGGGTATGTGCACGTGTGCCTGGCTTGCTCCGGGAAGTCCTGGGCATGATTCAGAAACTGTCCCATGTGGGTCCAGTTGCATTACCATTAAAGTACTGCCTGGCCCCTGAAAGCTTCTTTTGAAGGTATGTTATCCATAATGGTATTAAGAATAAAGACTGTTGGGACCAGCAGGTGATGTGGTGGTTAAGGCGCTGGACTCCCACATGACTGACCACAGTTTGAGTCCTGGACCTGGTGGCTTTCTTTCTCACTTTCTGTCTCTCTCTGGTCAAATTTAAAATGATAGTAATAATAAATAAAATTAATAAATCTAAAAACAAAATAAAGACTGTGTTTATAGTGCTTTGTGGTTAGTGCACTCTTTGGCACGGTTGTGTCCTTCAACTCTATGATAGTCTTAAGATGAACATTTAGGATTCTACTCCATCTTATGGATGGGGAAACAGAGTCGGTGAAGGGAAGAAGCCCGGCCTGAGTCCCTGTCTGATTCTTTCATGTAGCAGATTCTCACTGATGCTCAGAGTATATTGTGATAGGAAAGATGGTCTCTGTAGCAGGGACTACTTGCTATTGGAAGAGACAAATAATAACCAAGTAAAGAAATAATTCCAGTGCTTACTTCAGTAGCACATCTTCAAAAAATAAAATATACCTGGAGACATACCAGGGAGTTCCTGGGGGAGGACAGTGAGAGGGCAGCTTAAGACAGGGTAGTCAGGGAAGGCCTCTCTGAGGGGGTGGCATTTGTACTAAGTCATGAAGAATGAAAAAGCATTGCCCAGGGAGAACTTGAGGAAAAGTGTCCCAGGTAACAGAAACAGTAAGGGTTCAGTTCCTTTGAGGTAGGAATGAACTTACTATGTTCCGGTTACATCAAAGAGACCAGGGTTGGGGCTGGCAGGTGGCATGATGGTTAAGGGCACTGGACTCCCACGTGGCTGACCATGGTTCAAGCCCAGACCTGGTGTCTTGCTTTCTTACTTTCCCTCTCTCTCTCGCTCTCACTCTGTTCCTCTCTGTTCAAATGAAAATAAATAAATAAAGCTAAATAAAATAGTTTTTTTTTTAAAAAGAGGCCAGGGTGGCTGGTGCAGAGAAAGTTAGGTGGGGAGTAGAGAAAGATGGAATCTGAAGAGTGGGAGTGGGTCAGACCAGTAAGGCCATGTTGGCCAAGGTGGGGGGTTTTAAGCAACAGTGTGTCACAATCTGATTTTCACTTTTAAAGGCTCCTTCTGGCTGCCCTGTGGAGAATGGACTACAGGGGGCAGCGTGGGGTCAAGGAGGCCAATGAAGAGTCTACTGCACATGTCTGAGTGGGGGACGATGACAGTTCAGAGGGGGACAGAGGCAATAGCAAATGAGAAGAGTGTGCAGATAGGAGAAGGAGTGAAATACAACCAGCCTTCCATATTTGTGGGGGTTTGTATCAGCAGATTCAACCAATTTTGAAAAAAGGATTGGTTCTTTTTATGCTGAAATGTACTGCTTTTTCTTATTCTTATTTCCTAAACAGGCTGATATGTCTTCTTTTTTTTGAGAGAGAGATTTTTGCTATAAGGTGTGTGTACTCACAGGGGAGACAGAGAGAAACATAGAGACAGAAAGCAAGAAATCTCACCCCCTAGTGGGGATGGCTATGCCACAATCCTTTGTCCATTCTCCTCTCAGGATTTTGGGCATGCACACACATGCACTCTGTATTTTAAGTTGCTGGGTCCAGGACTCGAACTGCATGGGAGTCCAATGATGCAACCATTATGCCATCTGCTGGTCCTCTTATTTCCTAAACAATAGAGTTAATAACCATTATTTATATATCATTTGCATCATATTAGGTAGTTTAAGGTAGAGATGATTCAGGAAGATGCTCACAGGTTCTGTGCAAATACTGTTCCATTTCATGTAAGGGACTTGTGCACCTGTGGACTTTGCTATCCATAGGCTGTCCTGGAACTGACTCCCTCCAGAGATTCTGAGTGATAGCTATAGAGGAGTTTGCCTCCTAACACTGGACCTGGAAGGGTGGGCGGGAGTGGGAGAGTTGTACTTTCGGAATCTCTTCTCTCACTACCTTCTTCCCACTTAGGTGTGTCAAATGTGTCAACAAATATTCCACCCCGGAAGCCCTGGAGCATCACCTGCAGACCGCCACCCACAACTTCCCCTGCCCACACTGCCAGAAGGTACGTGCTGCTGCCCTCTTTCCCAAGACCTGGGCTGTCATCATGGGGCGTCAGGACATGCCAGCAGAGGAGGGGCTGAGTGTCTGAGCAGTGGCCTCCCCGCTTCCTTATAAATTATAATCTTTATTATAATTGATTCTTCTTTTCAGCGACTCTGGAAGCCCATACCAAAGCCTGATTCTCAGACCATCTTATCCAGGGGGCGTTCCAATTTCCAGTTGTCTCAGAATGTCACCATTTCATAAAAGTTGGTTGAATCCGATCCATAGATTGCAACTGATAGATGCAACAGAAGTTTCTATTAATCTGTTGGTTCCCTCCAACATGGCTCCTTTCTTCCTCTCTTAATTTATTTGTTGGAGAAACTGGACCATTGGTCCTATAGAGCTTCCCTCTGTCTCAATTTGCAGATTGCTCCCCCTGGTGTGCTTAATTTGTCTCTTCACTCTACTCATTTTCTTACGACCTTCCATGGGTAGATTTTGCAGGACAGCCTTGGTTTCATTTTGGCCTCATTCTAGATGTTTCTATTTATATAGCCTAGTTTAGGGCTTTGGAATTTGTAGTCTAAGTGAAAGGTGGCATACGTTGAGCAACAGACATGTGCAAGAATGGACTCGTTTGTACCCTAGGAGGTAGGTGTAATATTACTATCCCCCTTTTACGGTTGGAGAAACCAAGGCATGAGAAAGTCACTAAGCTAGGAAATAAGGAGCTAATAGGTAGTTGAACAGTAGGATCTGTACCCTTGACCACTTTTCCTTTTCTTTTTTAAAGAAGTTTTTGCGTTAGGGTGCATGGTGCATGTGCTTGCTGGAGAGAGAGAGAGACAGACACAGTGAGAGGGAAAGTGAGAAATCACCCCTCAGGGGCAATGGCCATGTCACAATCCCTTCTCCTCTATTCTCCTCCCAGGATCTTGAGCATGCACACACACGTGTCCGATGTGAGTTTCAAGCCACCGGGTCTGGGACTCAAACCACAATCGGCCACGTGGGAGTCCAGTGATATAACTGGCCTACATCTGTAGGCCCCCCTCTCCTGACCACTTTTCTGCCAAATGCGTGTCTTTCCTAAATTTGCCCGTGTTAGAAAGAGATTTTAGGATCTATGCTTTCTGGCTTTTTATTGCCTTTTCATTCATTTCTTTAGTTAGTTATTTTTTTGTTGTTCATTCTTTTACTTATTAGTCATTTGACTCAGACCTTGTGCTGGGAATGAAAGCTCCTCTGTAACTTCACGAAGCTCCCCTAAGGGGAGGCTGTAATTCAGTGGGTTAAATGCTGACTTAATGTGGGCAGAGGGAGCTGGCCCTGTGGCCTAGTGATTAAGGGAGCTGGATCCCCTGACCATGGTGTTTAATCCCATCCCTTGCAGCTTATAAAAGGATGTTGGGTACATGAGCATGCATACCCCAAGTCCCCCAGGATGGAGAAATGGAGAAGAAGGGATTGTGGCATGACTACGCCCCATCGATGTGTGCTTTTACCCTTCCCTGAAGTGTGCTTTCTGGGGAACACACATAGTCTCTGGGAATTAAAAAAATGTGGGTGGAGGGCACATGTGTGAGTGTCCAAGCTCTGATAGTTTGGAGAATGAGAGGATGGGATCACAGCATGACCAGGCCCTGTGGAGGGGGCTTCTCTCTCTCTCCCTCTCTGTCTGTCACATGGATGCACACATATTCTATCATGAATAAAAAGGGGGAGCGGACATTCAAGGGTGGAATTTGCCTTGTCTGACTGTCACTTGGGGGTCCAGGAAGGTTTCACAGAAGCAGTGACACCTAAGTTGAGTCTTGAAGGATGAGTAGGAGTTTGTCAGACTAAGAAAGAAAGGTCCTCTGGGTAGCAGAAAGCATAACTGAGGCAGCAGCTCGGACCTGGCACATTTTGGCTGGCTCGTGGGTGAATAGCAGGAGCCTTGGCCCTTGGCAGGCAGAGGAAGTTCCGAAAAGCTGGAAATGAGGGGCCCCTGAGCTCATAAGGTGGTGAGGGAGGAGGACCTTGTGGAGTCAGACCTGAAGCCCACTCTCCCATTCCCCCAGGTATTTCCTTGTGAACGCTACCTGCGACGTCACCTGCCCACCCACGGCAGCGGGGGCAGGTTCAAGTGCCAGGTGTGCAAGAAGTTCTTCCGGAGGGAACACTACCTCAAACTGCATGCTCACATCCACTCAGGTGGGTACCCTGCCCGCCACCAACTCTGCCCAGCTCCCGCCACCCTCTCCTCATGCCCTTCTCTGCCCCTTTCCCATTCCTTTCTCTCTCTTCCCATCTCCTGCCTGAACACCTGCTCTCCTGCCTTCACTCATGAACGAGGGGTTGTCACAAACGCTGGAGTAGACATGACCCTCTGGAGACTGGGGGGTAAGGGGCTCGATCACTCTGGGTCCCTGGGGAGGGAACACTGCTCTCACTACTAAATTACTACCCAAACCTGGATGAAATCCTCTCTTTTTGGTTCCCCTGGTCAAAAACATTGATATTTTAATTTTTTTTAATCTTGAAATGGTTTTTATGAGTTAAACATTTTTTTTTGGGGGGGGGTTTGCTATAGGGCACATGCGCTCGCCAGAAAGACAGAGAGAGACAGAGAGACAAAAAGCGAGAAATCACCACCCCAGGGGGGATGGCCACACTGCAATCCCTTCTCCTTTCTCCTCTCGGGATCTTGGGCATACATGCACACGCACCCAGTGTGAGTTTAAGCCACCAGGTCCGGGACTCGAACTGTGGTCATCTACATGGGAGTCCAGTGACGTAGCCATTACACTAACTGCTGGTCCTGAGTTAAACATTTTTTAAGAATTATTTTATTTTATTCATTGTTTCTATGTTTATTTTATATATATATTTTTTGAGAGGTTTTTACTATAGAGCGCATGCGCTCTTCAGAAAGACAGAGGGAGACAGAGAGACAGAAAGCAAGAAATCACCCCCCAGGGGGGATGGCCATGACACAATCCATTCTCCTCCATTCTCTCGGGAACTTGGGCATGCACGCACACATGCGCGGCATGAGTTTAAGCCACTGGGTCTGGGATTTGAACTGTGGTCAACCACGTGGGACATTGGATTCGAGCGACTTAGCCGTTACGCCAACTTCTGGTCTCTTATTTTATATATATATGTATTTTAAAGTTGACCAGAGAGAGAGAAAGTGAGAAAGCAAGTTGCCAGATTTAGGACTCGAACCATGGTCAGCCATGTGTGAGTACAACCGTCTTAACCCCCACGCCACCTATTGACGCCCTGAGTTTAAATTTTAAAAGATTTATTAATTTAATTAAATTAATTATTATTATTACTGTTATATTTTTAAGTTAGCTATAGGGCACATGTGCTCATGAGAGAGAAAGAGAGAGAGAGAGAAAGTGGGAAATCAAGCCTCAGGCCCAGGACTTGAACCGTGGTCAGCCATGTGGGAGTTTGGCACCTTAACCACCATACCACCTGCTGGACTCCCTGAGTTAAATTTTTTGTTAAATTTTATTTATCATTATCATTATTATTATTATTAAGAATTACTTTATTTAACTTTATTCATTTATTTATTTAATTTGACCAGAGAGGAACAGAATGAGGGAGAGAGAAGGGGGAAGTGAGAAAGCAAGCTGCCAGGTCCAGGACTCAACCACGGTTGGCCATGTGGAAGTTCAGCGTCCTTAACCACCATGCCACCTGCTGGCCCCTCATTATTATTATTTTTAAATTGCTACAGGGCACTCATGCTTACCAGAGAGAGACAGAGTGGTTGAGAGAGAGAGAGGGAGGAAAAATGAGAAAACAAGCTGCCAGGTCCAGGACTTAAACTGCAACTGACTATGTGGAAATCCAGTGCCTTAACCACTATGCCACTTGTTGGCCCCCTTCTGATAATTCTTGGTAACATTTTTTTTTTTCTCAAAAGTTAATTTCATTGTAAGAGCACAGTGTATAACAGAGGTAACATACAGGGACCAGCAGACGGTATAATGGTTATGTTGCTGGACTCCCACATAGTCAGTCACAGTTCATGTCCGGATCTGGCAGCTTAAAAAACCACACTGGACTCGTGCACATGTGCCGAAGATCCTAAGAGGAGAATGGAGGAGAAGGGATTGCAGCGTGGCTATCCCTCCTGGGGGTGATTGCTCCCTTTCTGTGTGCCTTTGTCTTTCCAGTGAGCACACACACCCTCGGGGCTGGCAGGTGGCATGGTGGTTAAGGTGGCTGGACTCCCTTGGGACCAACAGATGGCGTAATGGCTGCGTCGCTGGACTCCCACATAGTTGATCGCAGTTCCAGTCCCAGACCTGGTGGTTTAAACTCACACCGGGCACTGTGCATTAGTGCCCAGATTCCTAAAAGGATAATGGAGGAGAAAGGATTGTGGCGTGGCCACCCCCTCAGGGGGTGATTTCTTGCTTTCTATGTCTCTGTCTCTCTGTTTTTCTGGTGAGTGCATACACCCTATAGCAAAAACCTCTTAAAAAAAAAAAGGTGACTGGGCTCCCATATGGCTGACTGCAGTTTGAGTCCCAGAGTGGTAGCAGCTTGCTTTTTTGCTTTTTCACTTTCCTTCTGTCTCTTTGCTCCTCTCTGGTCAACTTCAAAAAAAAAAAAAAAAAAAAAAGAACAATGAATAAAATTAAATAAAATAATTCTTTTAAAAAATCGCTCTCAAAAATAAATGCAGGTAATTTACAAGATACAATATACATATTAATCCACTGTTTATGTTATCAGGGAGGCTTCTGGTTGAAGGTTGGCTATTAGTACTTAAGTTTGGGGGAATCAAAGGTTATCTGCGGGGCCAGCAGGTGGCATGATGGCTAGGGTGCTAGATTTTCACATGACTGACCCTAGTTTGAGTCCTGGACCTGGTGGCTTTCTCTCTCTCTCTCTCTCTTTCTGTCTCTCTCTCACACACGTGCCCTATAGCAAAATTAAAAAGTAATTAATTAATTTTTAAAAATTATCTGTGAGGGACAGCAGGTGGTGCAGAGGTTAAGGTAGTTGGATCTCACATGGCCAACTGCAGGGTTGAATCCCAGATGCGGTGGCTTGAAAAACACGCTGGGAGAGAGCAAGTGGTGTGATGGTTAAGGTGCTGGACTCCCAAATGGCCGACTGTGGTTCGAATCCTGGACCTGGTGGCTTGCTTTCTCACTTTTCCTCGCCTTGTCTCTGCTCAAATTAAATAATAATAATAAATTAAATTAAATTAAATAATTCTTTAAAACAAAAAAAAAAAGAAAGGGAAACATGCTGGGTACGTATGTGTGCATGCCCAAAATCCAAGAGGAGAATGAATAAGAGATTGCAGCATAGCCATGCCGCCAGACGGTGATTTCTCGCCTCCCCCCCATCTCTAGCAAGCACATGCACTTTTTTTTTTTAAGAATTTTTTTTAACTTTATTTATTATCTATCTATCTATTTATTTATTTTAATTTGACCCGAAAAGCAAGGAATCACCCCTGGAAGGATGGCCATAGTCACTTCTCCTCCACTCTCTTCTTGGAATTTTGGGCACATGCACATAAGTGCACAGCACGTTTTTTAAGCCTCTAGCTCCAGGACTCGAACACTGAAGTCAGCTGTGTGGGATCCAGCCACCTAAACCAACATGCCACTTGGCCGGCCTGTTATCGATAGATTTTTGAGCGCATGAGACGTTGGCACTCAGAACTCTCATGTTGTTCAAGTGTTACCTACATATACAAACACGTGGCTAGGGCTTTCAAGGTGTGGAGATTGCATTTTGTGTCCTAACAAAGTGGGACTGTGTTAAGTTGTTCTACAGGTTTGTCTTCTCCCTAGCAGTATGTCCAGGAGAACTTTCCAATCAGGAAAAACAGATTGACTTGAATCTTTTTAATGATGAAGGGCATTTCACTGTAAGGACAAGAGTTTCTGTAATCAACTGGGTTGTCATTTTTTATTTTTGAAGAATTATTGGGACCAGCAGTTAGCATAATGGCTATGTTGCTGAATTCCCATGTAGTCGACTGTGATTCGAGTCCCGGACCCGGTGGCTTAAACTCACCCGGGTGCGTGTACATGTGTGCCCAAGATCCCGAGAGGAGAATGGAGGAGAAGGGATTGTGGAGTGGCCATTCCCCCGGGGGGTGATTTTTTCACTTTCTGTCTCTCTGTCTCTCTCTGTCTTTCTGACGAGTGCACGTGCCCTATAGCAAAAACCTCTCCAAAGGAAAAAATAAAAATTATTTTGGGGGGGTAAGCAGGTGGTGTGGTATTTAAGGGAACTGGACTCCCATATGTCTGACTGTGGTTCGAGTCCTGGACCTATCAGCTTGCTTTCTCATCCTCCCCCACCCCCTCTCTCACTCTGTCCCTCTCTGGTCAAATTTAAATAAATAAAGTTAAATAAAATAATTCCTTTAAAAAAAGAATTATTTTTTTAATTTAACTTTATTTATTTAGTTATTTATTTAAATTTGACCAGAGAGAGAAACAGAAAGTGAGCAAGCAAGCTTCTGGGTCCAGGACTTGAACCGTGGTTGGCCATATTGGAATCCAGTGCCCTTAATCACCATGCCTTCTGCCCGCCCCTGGGTTGACACTTTTTTAAAGTGTTTTATTCATGCGAGAGGGAGGACAGAGAGGAAATAATGGCAGGGGATTTAAATAGCCCAGGAAGAGCCCTTTTTCAAAGGGCAGATTGGAACTCTACAGGGACCTTACAGGCCTTGAGTTCTGTGGGCTCCTCAGGTGACCACTGACACCCATTGGGTAAAACCTGCCCTTCCTGCCCTCCCCCCAGAATGGGTTTGGGAGTTCTGAGCTAGCTCAGGTGGGCTTGGGTCACAGCCATGGACCTTGGGCAAGTCCCTCTTTGTCCCTGAGCTCCAGGCATCTCATCCACAGAGTGGAGATGATGGAAGTACTTACCTCATGGTCTGATGGCGAGGATTCAGTTAGACGTGAGATTCCCCCATCCCCACCGTGGACCCCATTGCTGTAATTGCCATGACCATCTACCTTGGGACATAGGCCACCCTCAGAATCATCCTTAACTGTCCTTTTCCTCTTACATCTCATGGTCAGTTCCTTAGCTAATTCCACTTTCCCAATGCAGCCTGGCCTTGACCGCCTCCATTACTGTCCCAGCTCTCCTCTGCCACCCTTTCCCCTCTCAGTCTGTTCTCCACTTGCTGCTCAGCTGGTGCCAGCCTGTTCAGATCTTAAGTCAGAGTCCAAACAGATGTGCGGCAGTGAAATGCAGCACTTTGTAAGGCTGATCCACCTGGGAAGGTTGTGGTTCATGTCTGGAGGGCTCCTTGAGTACTCTGGGCATGCACATGTCCTCCATCTGGAGCTGGCTAAGGCAGGGGTGGATCGTGGTAGTGAGGCCCTTTTGGGAGTGCTGGCTTTCTCTCCTTGTCACTTATGGAAGAACTAAATTAATAAAAATTTAAAAAACAGGACCAACAGATGGCATAGTGATTAAGGTGCTAGATTCCACATAGCTGTCTCCGAGGTTTGAGGTCCGAACTGGTGGCTTGAGAATCACACTGGGCACGTGTGCATGTACATGCCCAAAAATCCCAAGAGGAGAAGGGATCGTGGTGTGGCCATTCCCCGTAAGAGTGATTTCTCACTTACCCTCCTTCTCTGTATCTGTCAGTCTCTCTTTAGTGAGCACACGCATCTTATGAAAAAAAAAGAAATTTAAAACAAAAGAAAAATTTGAAGAAACTTGAGTTGGATCCTGTTCCTCCTCTTCTCAGGCCCTCTAGTAGCTTCTTACCTGGCTCAGAGTAAAAGCCTTTTCCTGGCCTTCTGGGTACTCCTGGTTGGGGCCTGGCGTCCTTGTTGACCTCACCTCCTGCCTCATTTCCCTCCGCACCTTTTGTTTCAGCCACCCTAACCTCCCTGCTGTTCCTCAGATACACCTCGGGGCCTTTGCACTTGCTTTCCCTTCAATCTGGGCCCCTCTCCTAGATTTGCACGTAGCCCGCTGCCGTACTACCTCAGGCCGCACCTCACCTGTTGTGCCATCCGAGAGCCATCCCCTAATACCCTATCTCAAACAGCCCCTTCTTTTTGGTAAAACAAAGTCATGAGGAACGAGAGAAGCTATGGCTGTTTTTTTGTTTGTTTGTTTGTTTGCTTTTAGCTTTGCAGAGAGAGACGCAGAGAGAGATAGAGGAAAAGTGAGAAATCACTCCCCAAGGAGATAGATGACCATGCTGCAGTCCGTTCTCTTCTGTTTTCTTCTTGGGATTGTGAGCATGCATGTAAATCCACCTGGTATGATTTTCAAGTCCCTGGACTCAAATAGCAGTTGGCCATGTGGGATCCAGCTGCCTTAACCTCCACGCCACCTGCTGGTCCAAGAGAGGCTGTTTTTCTACCAGATCACCCTCATTGAGAAGCTGCTGCCCAGTGGGGACCTCTGCACCCCACATTCAGATTCCTTCTTATGGGCCCTGAGCCCGCCCTGTCTGTATCTCCTGCAGGTGAGAAGCCCTACAAATGCTCAGTGTGTGAGTCTGCATTCAACCGCAAGGACAAACTAAAGAGACACATGTTGATCCATGAGCCCTTCAAGAAATACAAATGCCCCTTCTCGTGAGTTGACTGTCATGTGGGCAAGGAGGATTCCTGGTGGGGCTGCCGGGCAGGGTGGGGCAGAAAGATGTCAAGCCCAGGGCCAAAAGCCTCTCTCCTTTGAGGTCTGGGTCCTGCCTGTCTCACTCCCCATCCTGCTTCCTTGCTTAGCCCTTAGAGGGGATAAGGGTATCCCTTTTGCCCAGGGTTAACAGAGGGGTTGACAAAGAGGGTCCTAAGCTCAATAAGTTCACCCTGACCCCCGGCTTTGGTTCCAGGACACACACAGGCTGCAGTAAGGAGTTCAACCGGCCGGACAAGCTGAAGGCTCACATCCTCTCCCACTCTGGTAAGGGGTTCATGGTTCTGCCAGGAGGGTTTAGTTCAGCTCAAGTTCCTTGGCAAAGACTCCCCAGCAAAGAAAGAACAAATGCATCCCATAAAGCTTAGTGTCCCGGAGGGACCAGCAGTTAGCATAATGGCTATGTCGCTGGACTCCCACGTAGTCGACCGCGGTTCGAGTCCCGGACCCAGTGGCTTAAACTCACGCCGGGCGCGTGTGCATACGTGCCCAAGATCCCGAGAGGAGAATGGAGGAGAAGGGATTGCGGCGTGGCCATCCCCTCTGGGAGGTGATTTCCTGCTTTCTATCTCTCTGTCTCTCTCTGTCACTCTGGCGAGCGCACGCGCCCTATAGCAAAAACCTCTCAAAAAAAAAAAAAGCTTAGTGTCCCTGCCAACACCTTCTAGCCAATGGACTTTCACTCATGTGGGCTACAAGCCAGGCCAGAGTTAGGGACCTTAGGGTGCACAGAGATGAATTGGACACAGTCCCCCAGGCCAAGGGGGAAGCCAACCTGAGAAGGAATAACTAAGTCAGATCAGGCTGGTCGATGGTGGAGGGCGGAGGGTGTCAAGGTTTGGCCAGGAAGGTTCATTGATAGAGTAGGGCAGGATCTCCAAACCACACTACGATCCCAGGGCTGCCCAGAGCAGTGTGGCTGGCTCTCCATGTACCATTTGGTCTAGAACAGGCTTTTTCAACCTTGGCACTGTCGATATTTTGGACTGGATAATTCTTTGTAACCAGGGACTGTTCGGTACTTGTAGATGTTTAGCAACACCTCTAGCCTCCAACCACTAGGTGTCGGTGGCATGCCCCCCCGCCCCCCACCCCTCTGTTGTGACAACTGAAAATGTTTCCAGGTATTGCCAAAGGTCTCCTGGGGGGAACCTTGCCCCAGTTTGAGGGCCACTGGTTTGTAGAAAGTTGGAAAATGGAGAGAATTGATCAAGCACTTGGAAGCAGAGGGGCTGGGGTTTGTCTTGGCACTGCTACTTTCCTGCCACCAGGCAAATCACTGCCCCTTCCTGGTCTCCATCCCAAGGGGGCTGGGGAGGCTGAAGGCATCTGGGAAAGGTGCCTGGCCCAGGGTGAGTATGGGCTGGCATTGACTTCATGGTGATCGTGAAGGCACCCATGATTCACTCAGTGAGTGGCTTCTGAGAACCGACCACATGCCAGGCAGTGAAGGAATCAGGCCGAATTCTACCCTGCCCTCTTAGGGAAGCTTAGCATCTAGTGGGATAGATGATAGACTGAAAATAAACAACAAATAAATAAATATGTATCGGCAAGGTACACTGAGTGCAAAACAGAAATGAGTGGGGTGATGGGCAGAGACTGAAGGGTGTGTCTATCAGGGAGAGCCATCCCTCTCCCCTCAGGAGGTACCATGAGAACTGAGTCCCAAGGGATGACAAGAGCCAAGAAATCATTTTCCAGGGTGAGGGATCAGCATGTGCGAGCCTTACGGCAGGGAGAGACTGGAAGGGTGTTTGTGACAACGAAGGGTGGGTGAGAGCCTGGAACATAGGGAACAAGCTGGGCAGAGGGACTGGGACTGAGGTGAAGGGACAGTCAGACGGCACTGGCTTTGTGAGTAGCCGGTGTGGGGGTCTGGAGCAGGGATGTCACAATCACCGTGTGTTTTACAGAGCCATCTCTAGCTGCCCTGTGGGGAATGGTCTGAGGGGGACGGGGTAAGGCAGGCAGAGCAGAGAGGTTGCTGCTGTCATCATCCAGGTGACAGATGATGTGACCTGACCAAGAGAGCCGACATCTCGAGACTGAGCAGGCCAAGAGAAGTGGCAAAGGCCCAGAGGCTGGAGCCAGCTCTGTGCATGTGAGCAGAGTACTGGCAAGGAGAGGGTGGGAGGTGAGACCGCAAGGAGCTGGGTCCAGATCACACAGGTGCTGGCAGGGCAAGAGACGGGATCTCCTTCCCAGCGCAGGGCACCAGTGCGAGGTGTGGGTCTGGGTGCATCTGGCTGACTTCCCCTTGCTCCCCAGGCATGAAGCTCCACAAGTGCGCCCTGTGCAGCAAGTCCTTCAGCCGCCGCGCCCACCTCGCCGAGCACCAGCGCGCCCACACGGGCAACTACAAGTTCCGCTGTGCTGGCTGCGCCAAGGGCTTTTCCCGCCACAAATACCTCAAGGATCACCGCTGCCGTCTGGGCCCCCAAAAGGACAAGGACCTGCAAGCCCGGCGCCCTCCCCGGAGGAGGGCAGCTCCCCGAAGTGGCAGCAGTGGCGGGCGCAAGGTGGTGACCCCCTTATCTGACCCACTGGGGCTGGAGGAGCTGAAGGATTCAGGGGCTGGACCAGTGCCTGAGGCCGCCCCAGGCAAACCACCCTTTGCAGAGCCAGATGCCGTGCTGTCCATCGTCGTGGGGGGCACAGTGGGTGGGGAGCCGGAGCTGGTGGTGCCTGGGCATGCTGAGGGGCTGGGTTCCAACCTGGCACTGGCGGAGCTGCAGGCCGGGGCCGAGGGCCCATGTGCCATGCTCGCTGTGCCTGTCTACATCCAGGCCTCGGAGTGATGACCCATGCGGTTTGTTCCAGGGGCCGGCCTGATGCTCGCATTTGGGTCCAGGGCCCCTGGAGGCAGACTAGCAGAGGAAGGGAGCCATCAGCAGAGATCCTTTCAGGATGTCATTTATAAACCCAGGCCTGGGCCACCTGCTGGTGGCCCCTGTCCTGCAGGAAAGATCTGTAGTATTCCGGGATCTGGGGACAGGGCTGCCCGTGGTTTCTGGGTAGAGCAATGGCAAGAGAGAGCCCAGGGTCTGGCTGCCTAGGCTGGTGGTTGGGCCACCTGAGAGAGGAAACAGGGTTGGTCCCGCCCATCCATCTTCCAGGTCACTTTGAGATGGCTTCTAGCCAGGCTACCTTTCAGGAGGCCTGATATGGTTGGACCATGTCACATTCGGTTCTTCACCATCCTCAGACAGCTCTGTAATAGGGGTGTTAAGGAGACCTCAAGTATCATGGTTAGAGTGCAACTATGAGCCAGGTCTGGCTTCAAATCCCAAAGTTACATACACTTGCTGTGTGACCTTGAGCAAGTCACTCACCTCTCTGAGCCCATGTTCCTCATCTGGACAGTGGGGCTTACGATAGTGCAGCCTCGTAAGGTTGTCTTGGGCATCCAGTATGAAGAAATGCGCAAAGGGCTAGGCGCGGTGCCCGCACTGGGGAAGTACTCCTTAAATGTTTTCATCACTGCCAGTGTCCCAGTGACTCAGGCCAAGCCTCGGCAGTTTTTTCCTTTGCCTCTAGGTGGCAGAACTCTCCTCTAAACCATGTGGATGGAGGGGTCCTGGGGTCCCCTCACATGCATAGCCTTGGAGAGTTTGTAACAGAGAGGCAGGTCAGTGCTGCCAGTGCGGCTATTATGAATACAAACACTCATGAATATTCAGGATCTTGGGGCTCACCCCAAACCCTTTGGGATCAGATCTGACTAGAACCAGAGTCCACCTGGAGTGGGCCCTTGTGTGGCCATCGACACCCGCCCCCTCCAGTTAGGCCGGGCAGGAGGGAGAAAAGGGGCCTTGACCAGTGTTTCTCTGCTCATCCTCATCACCGCTTTTTGGGACACATTGCCTGTTACAGGAAAGGAAACAGGCTCCATGAGATGGACTTCACACAGCAGAGCTGTCTGACTCAGTGATGAAAGACTTTTCTTTCTTTTTTATTCTAAACTTTTCAAAATCATGATTAGAGCACTTGTATGTGCATGTGAGAGAAAGACGAGGACCCCCCACAGGCTCACACCGTAATCACCTGCTCTAGGCCTCCAGCCTGTTGGCTCTTGGACACACACAGATGTGTTGTGTGCTTCTGGTGGACTGGGCAGGGATTTGAAGATTAGTCGGCATGTGGGATGTGGCTTCTCTTGAGTGGTATGTTACTGCCTTGCCACCGAACTAGCCCAGATGACTGAGTTTTCTTGGAGGCTGGCGTATCCTTCCCTGTGTTAAGATCCAGGCCCAGAGCTCAGAGTCAAGCCCAACTTCCCACATCCTCAGGAAGCATATGGTGTGGCAGGAGGGACAAAGCTGATGGAGTAAAGGCTGCAGGTGCACCATCTGCAGAAAGGCCCGAGGGATCAGTAAGAACAAGGAGTCTCTTTGGTGGGGATGACTTTTGACTGAGCCTTGGCATGGAGTACCTGAATGTCTGAATAGATAGGGGAAGGCATGCCAGATAAGAGCAGGGCACAAGCAAAGACCAATGCACAAAAGTGCAGGGCCTGTGCTGCTCTGGGGCTGGCAGCTGGTCCAGAGATCTGGGAGGAATACAGGGGTAACCATAATCGCTAATTCTTCAAGCACCTGTGTGACGGGCATCATCCTGCACTGTTGACATCACACCATCTCAGCCTGTCTGTGAGTACTGTTACTTTCCGGATGAGGAAACGTGGCACAGAGGTAGAGTTCCTTGCCTAGGCTCACACAGCCAGTAAGCCACAGCATTGGGGTTCAAGCCAGGGCAGTCTGCCTCCACATGCTCTTAGCCACTTTGCTGCATTGAAATATGGGTTGATGAGGCCAACATGTGGCTTGGTGGTTAAGGGGCTGGATCTCACGTGGCCAACTACATAGTTCAAGTCCCAGAGCCGGCAAGCTTGAAAAACATACCAGGTGTGTGAGCATGCATACCCAAAATTCCAAGAGGAGAATGAAGGAGAAGGAGTTGTGACATGGCCATCCCCGCTAGGGGGTGATTTCTCACTTTTCCTCTCTCTGTCTCTGTTTCTCTCTGGGAGGGAATGCACCGTGTGGCAAAAATCTAAAATACGCACACACAGGTTGATGAGGAATGAGAGAGAAGCTTGAATGTTCAATTAAGGAATTCAGACTTTATTCTTTACATAGTGGAGTAGTGTGTGTGGGGGGGGTAAACATTTTTTTTAAATGGTGACTATGACATTAAAGGAAATGTTAAAAATCATTTCTCTGCCCTAATGCAACTGTTTTGTTTGTTTCTCTATTGCTTCTTCCTATCAGCGTATACACATGCATATACATTTACCACAAACATGAGAACTAGTTTTTGTTAGACACTTACTACATGCCTGGCCCGTCCCAAGTGCTTTAAGGTAGGTGCTACTCGTAATCCCATTTTGCAGCTGAGACAAGGCAATAATCCCATGAAGGTCAAGCAGTCCGAAACCACAGCAGGCAAGTGGCAGAGCCAGGCCATAGAACGAGGGACATGGGAGATTATGTCTAATGTTGAACAAATGAAGAACTGGTTAGCAAGAAAGGAGGCTAGGGAAATACTGGGCTTCCCCTTGGCTGAATCCTTCCTCGGTTAGCAAATGGGAGACTGAAGCCCAGAGAGGGGAAGGCCCTTGCCAAAGGGAGTTGGCAGCAGAGCAACTCCAAAACCCCAGGGCTCCTTGCAAAGCCCCAAGATGCTAGACAGGGCATAGCATAAGGAGGGTCTGGCCTGGGCATCCAGAATGTCCTGTCTCCAGAAAGCTCACAGACTTTGACATCAGGCAGAGCTGGGTTTGAATCCTAGCTCTCCTCCTCCTAACTGTGTGACTGGCAAGTCACTTCACCTCGCTGAACCTTAGCTTCTTCGTGTCAATGGGGAGAACATAATACCTACCCGATGATGTTGTCTCAATTCAGAGAAATAATTTAGATAAAGCAGAGATCACAAATTGGCAGCCCAAATGTTGAATCCAGCCTATACACAGACTGCTTGGCATTCACAATGTTTCCCTGCAAAAAATGAGCCAACATTTAAAAATAATGAAATTTAAAATATACAGCAATGGTGAAATGTGAAACATTTCTTTTGTATTAGGAATAAGACAGGCTTTCTGCTATCATGACTCCAACATTACATTGGAGGCCTGGCCAGAGCAATAAGGTGAGAAAAAGAAATACATGGTATAAAGATCACAAAGCCTGAAATAATAGCAAGATCCATATATGCAAATCAATCATGTTCCTATACTCTAGAAGCAATTAGAAAATGTAATTAAAAATTGAGACTTTGGGCCTTTCCGCCTGCCAGCAGCCATCAGGTAAGCCCAGATGGGTGTGTACAAGTACTTTCAAGGGCTGCGGAGGAAGAAGCAGTCCAATGTGATGCGCTTTCTTCTGAAGGTCCGCTGCTGGCAGTACTGCCGGCTCTTGGTGCTGCACGGGGCTCCCCACCTCACCTGGCCTGGGATACAAGGCGAAGCAAGGTTATGTCATATATAGGATTTGTGTGCATCATGGAGGCCACAAACGCCCAGTTCTCAAGGGTGCAACCTATGGCAAACCTGTCCATCGTGGTGTTAACCAGCTCAAGTTTGCTCGAAGCCTCCAGTCTGTTGCAAAGGAGTGAGCCGGACACCACCGCAGCGCTCTTAGAGTCCTGAATTCTTACTGGGTAGATGGATTCCACGTACACATTCTTTGAGGTTATTCTCATTGATCCATTCCGTAAAGCTGTCAGAAGAAACCCTGACACCCAGTGGATTACCAAACCAGTCCACAAGCACAGGGAGATGCATGGGCTGACATCGGCAGGCCGCAAGAACCAAAGCCTTGGAAAGGGCCACAAGTTCCACCGCATTATTGGTGGTTCTTGTGCAGCTTGGAGAGGGCACAATCCTCTCCAGCTCCACCGTTACCGCTAGTCTAAGAAATATTTGTAAAATTCATACCTGATAAACAATTTAGGACAGTCATGTCTGCTTAAAAGTGTTCTTTTTCTGGGGTCCAGCAGGTGGTGTGGTGGTTAAGGTGCTGGACATTCCCACATGGCTAACCACAGTTTGAGTCCTGGACCTAGTGGCTTGCTTTCTCACTTTCCCTCTTTCTCTCTTTCTCTCTGTGTCTCTCTCTGGTCAGATTAAAATGAATGAATTAATACATAGAATTAAATAAATAATCCTAAAAATGTTTTTTAGAAGTGTTACTTGTCTGTTAAACTACAGATTGTTTCATGAATGCTTTGTCAAATTATGAAAGTTCCAAGTGCAATAATGTGTGAAGACTATAAATGATAGTGTGTCTTGTTTCTAATAAGGTAAACTTTTTTGTCTGCTTTATCTTATTAGGGAGTTATATGTTGGTGTGTAAAATGTGTGGTATAATAGGTGCAAAATACATTATTTAAAACAGGAAAAAAAATTGTTACTTTGGGGACTAGCAGATGGGGTAATGGTTGCATTGCTGGACTCTCACATGGCCAACTCTGGTTCAAGTCCCAAACCCAGCATCTTGAAACTCAGGCTGGGCATGTGTGCCAAAATTCCAAGAGGAGAATGGAGAAGGAACTGATATGTGGCCATCCACCGTGGGCAGTGATTTCTTGGTTTCTGTCTCTCTGTCTCTACAGCAAAAGCATGTGCCCTATAGCAAAAAATCTCTCTAAAAACAAAAAAGAAACGGGACTTTGAGTTAGCAGGTGGCATGGAGTTTAAGTCAGCTGGATCCAAGATGGCTGACTGTGTGGTTTGAGTCCCGGACCCAGTGGCTTGAAAATAATGCCAGGCATGTGTGCATTTGTGCCCAAAATCCCAAGAGGAGACCCCTGGGCGGGGGGTGATTTGATTTCTCACTTTCCTTCTCTCTCTGACTCTCTCTGGCAAGTGCATGCACCCCATGGCAAAAATAAAATAAAATAAAATAAAATAAAATGTTATTAAAAATCTGAACCTTTTCTGGGAACCAGCAGTTAGTGTAATGGCTATGTCGCTGGACTCCCACATAGTCGACCGCAGTTCGAGTCCCGAACCCGGTGGCTTAAAACTCACGCTGGGCGCGTGTGCGTACGTGCCCAAGATCCTGAGAGGAGAATGGAGGAGAAGGGATTGCGGCGTGGCCATCCCCCCTGGGGGGGTGATTTCTCGCTTTCTGTC